AGCGGCGGCAGCCCTTAAATAATACAGGAAAAACACACCACCCAGGTTTGGAGAGCATTGCCCTGGCCGTCCTGCAGGTTTAGGAAGAAGCTAAGAGAAGTAGGTAGCACCTTTACGTGCACCCAGGCCCTAGGAGTTGCTGGGAATCGCACCATCTTCGCCAGAAATCCGGCGCACCTCTGCCTGAAAAACAGGCACAGGTTCTGCAGCTTCGTCCATGACTCCATGATGGACCAGACTGTCGGGTTCGATGCTCACTGGACTGAAGAGCCACGACAGCATGGAGGTACCCCCTACAACTGCTACACTAGAGTGAACGCAGAAGCCGCGGTGGTCAGACATTCCTGCCTTGCGCGGACCCTGAACTCCTCCTGGACCTCCCCTACATCTACATAGGCTCTCTGAGGATGGCGCCTCCAGAGCTGTGACTTGGTCTTTGTACCAATGTCCTACACCTTTGCAGCTCAAGCATGTTCGGATGGCACGAGGACTCTTAAAGACAGGGTCAGGTAAAGCGTCTTGACCGGAGGCTATTTACGCTCAACTGCTTGTGCAGACGCATGCAAAATGTCAGCTTCCCTCCGAGCCCACCGCGAATCAGCTCCTCCTTCACGGCATGCAAGAACTCCTCTTGCCTCAGCAGATGTGAAATTCAAGTCCCGCAAGGGTCCTGACCAACAACAGGCTGAAAAACGTGACAGTATGTGAACATGCGAAATAATCATATCAAGTCATGGTAGGAGAACTGAAGCCTTCAGGTCTCGTTCGCTGCACATGCAGCTTGCCGCAGGCCAGCCCATCAATGTCAGAAAACCCAGGTCATTGCAAAGCGTGCAGGGCTGTAGGACCCCTGCTTTTGGCGAACCGCCTCCTTCCAGCAAAGTGCTCTGTGGGCATGCGCAGGAAACTGTGCAGGCTACTGGTGCAGCACCACCCCAACAACCTGGCTCTCTGTCAGCTTTTCCGACATCTCATAATGTCTTCTTGGTGGCTGAACTGAAGCTTCAAGGCCTTTCGGGCAAGGCTTTTTCTGTGATCCACCTGTTTGCCTGCGCCGCTGGAACACTGCAGACCGATGATTCCGGTCACTGCCATGCGAATTGGGCAAGAAACCAGCTAAGAGCCAGTCAGAAGACGCGCATCAGGGCTCCAGGTGACACATCCTTCTTGTTGGCTTTACTTGACACTGTCCAGTACTTGCACTTTACAATTTCGGGCGTCACATTGGCCGTTTCATTGCCCGTAGCATTTGCCAGTCCCAAGCGTTGTAGCCTCACACAGGCATGTAAGACAAGGACTCCCTTCAATTATATTAACGACTCTGACCAGCAGCCCCTCTGAAACTTGAAACAGAAGAGGCGTTAGCAAGAGGCTCTCAGACTCATGTCATCCGATACCATGTGAAAGGAAACCTCAAAAACTTGATTTTTGTCAACCCGGAAGCATGTTGAGATCCAGAAGCTTGCCTTTGGAATCCACTGTTATGCGAGAAATAGGAACACCAGCATTCAGGAGAGCCATCGCAGTCATTTCTTTGCCAAACGCCAGAGCCAGATCCAAAGCCTGGATGAAGCACGCATCCACTCCCATGACATTGACCTGTTGAAAGCCTGCTGCCGTCCGCTGGTAATAGCTATGCTCGAGTCCAAGAGCCATGGACTCATTGAGACGCGCTCCGTGATTGGCGAATGTTTCAATGCATGCAGCGCATCCGCGCTTTGCTGCTATGTGTACCGGCCGCACATCCGAAATCACTGGATAGCTGAACTGTTTGTGGCCCTTCTCCTGGAAATCGGTCAGAGCTTCATACATCCATGGGTGAAGCGCAGACTCCCCGAACCAGGCCGGGAAGCCCTTGTACATCATTGCCGGCTCTGGGTCAGCGCCATGGCGCAGGAAATGGTTCGCACAATTGTGGCATTGCGAGGCGCACGCATCGTGCATCGCAGTCACGTTTACCTCCCACAGCTTGAGCTGTCCCACTGTGCGGGTTGTTGTGTAATCTGCGTTGATGGGGGGCCTCTCACTGGCCTTCCTGTCGAATACCTTAGCTTGCACTCCGCCCTCACTTACCACCGCGCTCAAACAATGGCCCAGAAGTCCAGGCAAACCGCATTAGGAATCAGAAACTGTTCCTGCTCCGTCCAAAAGGCAAGTTCAATCGCGTCGCTGAACTGCTTTTGCGCGGCCAAGTGCAAGACGTTTCGGCCGTCCTCCTCCAAGTCTCCATCCAATCTGCAGACCTAACATCTTTTGAGCTCCATCGAGCAGACTTCTCACGAAAGTGTGTTTAGCTGGTTGCAGAATTTAGGCTGAGAGAAGAGTGACATTGAGCGGTACTATGCATCTGGCTGACTATCCCCAAGATCAATCAACGGGAGCCTACAAATGCTTCAAATGTTCACAAGACGAGGGTGGCGCACACAACGATGAGTTTACCAGACAATGTTGAAGGGAAATGGCAACGAATGGCTGTTGCCTGAAACAACATCAGCTTTTCAAGTTGAGACTTGTACGCAAACTGTTCTAGATTCTAGCCTCTACGATCTTCTACAATGTGGGTGTCTTAGTCTCCCTTATGTGATCTTCGAAGACGTTGGTCCTCGAAACACAAGCCAAAACTAGCGAAATCCTATGTCCAGCGCGGCATCTGAAGCGTTGTTGTTCTTCTGCAGCCGGAATGCACTTCCCTAAGAGCTAAGCCCTTAAACCACCTGTGTGTTCTTGAAAGCTTCTACACCTTGAAGGTCACCCGATGTCCGCCAACGAGTTAACCAGGAGGCCTGCAACTCTGCAAGGTCCAAGATCGTGTACGGTTGCGTTACTCATCTGCCGAGAGGCTTGCAGTAGACCCTCGAAGACAATCTCTTCCGGCGCCAGCGCAAAGAGAGATGGTTTTGATCCATCCTGGTTGAACATGCAGAGGCATTGAGGAGCTTACGAGCTTCCTGCGAAATTGTGAAAGGAACGCTGCTGTGTGAGCAAAAATGTGGAGAGACGAAAGACAGTAAACCCGAGCGTGAGAACTCACATCACTTGAAGCAGTGACTTCTCAATTTGACAGCTTCAATCTCTCTTAACTACTGGAATTCGAAGCTCAATCAGGACTCAGCAATCTCCCCGCACAAACAATGCCAACAAGAGACTGGCCGCACGTGGAATGATGCATGGCTTCGACATTCCGACGAAGGAAATGGCTTGAACTGCCTCCCTTTCCTGCACAGCACACTCCGCGAAATGTGAGATTCCCAGAATTTGTGGGTTTGTTTTTGGGGTCCCCATAATGAAAATCAAAATATTTTGGGGCCTAGATTGATTGGGGTCCCCCTATTTAGGGAAACAACTAACAACTAAATTCTTCAAAGCAAGGCTACCTGCCTCTGTATACATGATATAAGGTCGAAGAGGGTCTTGCGTGCCGGAAATACCTCCTGAGATGGTCTATGGACAAGCAAGGACAGCAAAAACTTGTTGGATCGGCTGGCACGACAGCTTCACTAGTTTACCATTGAGCCACCTCTGGCTGCCCCAGATCATCCACGAGCAGCTTGTCAACAAAGTACGCGAAGAGGTCTATATTGAGAAAACCGGATCGAGGGTCGGTAGCCAGGCAGACCTCAACAAGCTGCGCTTCTTGCTGCCTGCTAGAGGCACATAGTCTGCGCATGTCCCTGCAGCTTAAATGCTGGCAGGGTGAGCGCTCTCAGCCGTGGCTTGTACATGGCCACCACCGGCAGCGATAGCATTCTCAGGAAAGCCTCAAGGTAATAGCTACAAATGACATTGTGACATGCTGGCGTTTTCCCAAATCAGAGGCACCTTTGGGGGGGGGGGAGGCGGGGGACTACAATAAGGATTATATTGTCCTGGGATCTATGATATTCGGATTTATGGAAACTACCAGGTGCAGCAGAGGGTCCTTTTGGGAGCCATCGAACATAGCCAGCAAAACCTTGATAGTCGACTCCGACTGTACATACTCAATGAATAATGAATAATGGTTTCCAATTTCTTTTTTCGTATCCCAACGGATCCCAACATGAACCCTAAGACCTAAACAGTAATTTCCAGATTCTTTTCCACTCAAGATATCTTAAGATGGCAAGTTGAGATTATCAGCCTCCGGCTTTTGGCGGCTGAGGTGCGGGACTCTGCTTGAAGGCGTCGTTCAGGTTAACATCACCATTACTGCAGCAGGGGGCAGAGTTGACAGGCTTACAGCCATGCGCAGGGACTCGCACAAGTGGACACACACACACACACACGGAAACAAAATGGACACACAGCGAATGCCTGGACAGCGCTTCCAGGATCTCGAAGCCTTTTGGTGCGTTGATGTGCTCAAGCATGTAAGGCCTCCCAAAAACACCCAGCTCACGAAATCAACCTATCCACGTGTAAGAGCCTTTCTGTGCAGGTCCCCTTGTAGATATGCAGCATCCGACTAGCAATCTGAGCTTTACCAGCGGGCCGCGAGCCGCGGGGTGTCAAAACGAGACGCCCCTCATGCCTGACGAGGCTGAGCAGGCCACTTCCTGTAGCTCCAGAAAAAAGACAACACAACTCAGCAAATAGGACATGTTCGGGTGCATTCCGCTATGCAGCTTGTGAAGCCACTGCTACTAACGATACCCTTGAAAGCTGGACGAATAATTGGATGAGCCCATCTTGTAGCATCCGAGCCAAGGTTGCTGAAGCCCACGCTCAACCACGAACACACGGCACTTTCAAGGTCAAGGCTCGATACTTACAGTGAAGAGCGATGTCTGTAAGCACCTGCAACAAGACAAGCGTTAGCTTGCAAACTCAAGCTTTGATCTAGCTCGTTGCGGGGGCTATGGCTATCCAGTTGGTGAACCAAGGCTGGGGTCGAGTATCTGGAGGCTGAGCTTAGCTCAAGCTGAATTGAATGGTCGGTCACCCTCGCAAATGCGCGAAAGGCGGGCTACAACGGCGTGCCCTGGAGGAGCTACACTGTGCATACCTTGTGAGCCCGTGCAGAAGCCTTTTCAGAACTAAACGTGGATGGATGACGCGGGAGTTCTGGAGGTCTCTGAAACGTGTCAAGGTCGCGAACAACAACTCTGCTGCTGTGCCAGGAGATGTGGCGAGATGAGTGTATGCCATAAGCTGGCAAAGCCGAGATCACCATGTCCGCCTAATGACGTGAAAATCTCTGAGGACTCGGCCAGAGCTTCTACCATAGATTCACCAAGGGGCAGCATTCAATCGCTCTTTGCATCGACACCATGTCAGGTAAGGGCGAGGGTACACTTACGGTCTTCAGATAAGCCAGGGGCACATCAATTGTTGCATGACAAACCTTTTAATCGAGATTTGCTGCTTCAATCTTCTCCTCACGCTTATATATCTGCAGTTTCCAGTCTTGCCAAATCAACCACGAATTCCGAACGCTCCCTATTGATTCCCATGCACCAGGCATCACTCCAAGGAGTCCTGCAAAATGCAGCCTAGCCCTTCATGCAAGGCATCATCTCAACCCTGGTCTCACCAACCCGCGTAACTTCAACCTGGAAAGATGTAGAACGCACCGTTACGCAAGATGCTTTTTACAGGGTGCCTCTGCGGTGAAATACTGCTCAAACTTTGGATAGATTCGTACGTTCGTCCAGCTGCGAAACCTTGGTGTCCCAAATAACTGAACTTCTCTATGCATGGTCAGATGCAAAGATATCTGAGGTGCTGTACATGGATCCCTGACACTCCCCTCCAACAGAATCCGAAAGCTGCTTGCACCTGTTTGTGCAACGCAAAGTTCATCTACTGGCTTTCCTCCTAGGATGGACTTCTGAGCCAAGCCACACTTTCGTTGAAGCAAAAGAACGGTGGTCCAAAGGGCTCATGCTGCGGGGAATCAACATGCCCAGGTCTCCTTGCGTGGACGAAAACTTATGAGTCCGTTGGGCGAATTCATGCCGCACCTTGACTGAGAGCAAACGCATGTCACTGCCAAGTCATAAAGTGGTATCCTCCTCGCTCGTGCTCTTGTGAATCATTATGCTGCTCAGAGCAGACGTTGTAGGCTTCAGTCAAACAAGCCTCCTTTCCAGGGCCAGCGCAGCTACACGTCCCAAGGCTTCGCAAGTAGCAAGAAACGGACACACCTCCAAACATGTGCCCAACACATCTTCTGCAATCGCAGCACAGTCGACAAGTACGAAGTACACCCCTTCGTTCTGTCCATGAAGTTGCGGACTATGACTATACAGCCAACATTGCGAGAAAACACAAGACTTGTTGCCTTCGGCTCAGCCCTGCCACAGCTTTGCCTTGCACTTGTCCGTCTTGTCCGTTTTGCATGAGGCAGCGACACACTTGTCAAAGTTGCCACGACAGATTGGCAGCTGGCAAGAACGTCGGACGTGACTCTGTAGCGGCTGCAGGTTGTTTCCAGCAAATGTCACAAAGACATGGATCTCGCGGATCCTGGCCAGAAATCTGGCTCACTCTGCAGATCAGACTCGGTGTTTCCAGCTTGTTAATACAAGAACAAAAACACAGGCACTAACAGCCCGAGGAAGCATGGTGCAGGTCCTGAAGAGCTTCTGCGGTACTCTTGACTTTATCCAGCCATGAAGGTGAGTTCTTGGCTGCCATTTGTTAACGGTCACCTAAGTTCCATTCACACCTTGCACTCTCCACCGCGCTTCTGGGAGAGGAAGCATCAAGTTCCGATCAGGCGTTGTACCAAGTTGCTGCAGCCATGTTGGAATTCCAAGATCCTCCACAGGCATCGTAGTAGGCCATCCTTTGAAGATCACCTCAAGTATTGATCACGCTTGCCGTGGATCCTTTTTTGCATGACCCGCCCGCCGTAAATGACCAGACCTTTTAAACTGGACAGGAATGGCTCTCCGCAAACAACCCTGCAAACCCCCTGGCGTTCCCTGACCCTGCGCACAAGTTCTTTCATCTGAACGCTTGGCCGCTTCATGTCGCTTCCCAGTCACTGTCACACTCGCTGAATCTTACAAAAATCTGTTGGACGCTGAAGGTCTGGAGCTGGCCCTCTGTCCATTCCACGTAGAAGTCCTGCAGCTGAGTCGCGGCCCCACAGGGCCTAGATTAGTATTTGCCGAAGTATCCCGCAAGATCTACATGATGGCGAAAGCTCGCTAAAAAAGCTGTCCAAGGCGATCACTCAAACTGCACTGCAACTGCGTGACACAGAAAATGTCTTTGTTTTTTGTAGATCGGAGCATGTAGTTCCTCTGGCTCTTCCCTCACTTTAGAAAGGCAGTGCTCTCTGCCTTGACTCGCTAAAAAAGTTCGGGCCTCATCCTCCAAGAGCGCTGCCACATACAGATTGAAATTGGTCGTGCTCATCTCAAGGACATCATAGTCCCTTTGTCATGAGCACTGAGAGTTTCAGTCTGAAACATGAACACTGAGGTTCCAATGGTTGGCAAGATTCTATATACTTTGGCAAGCCTCATCCACTTGGTACCAGCTGTTCGCGAGTGCTACGAAAAGTCAAAGTCTCAAAACTGGAACAAACAGCCAGCCACTAATTCCATGGCAGGGATGAAAAGACTCGCATTGTTCCTAGTGCGAACTGTTCCACGACAGTTCAAACTCCCCGCTTAGGACCTTTGGCTCGGATCTGCATAAGAACCGCTGATGGAAGCCCAGCCCAGCGGCAAAGACAGCTCGAGACTCTGTGGAATATCCATGTGCTGCGCAACCTTGCATCATCTTGCATCTTTGACGGCACAGGCCATGCCCAAGCAGCGCTTGCTCAAAACGACCATAGCACAAGTGTCTATCTGCAAGATGCTGCTGGGCAGCGACCCCAAACACCGGCAATTCGGTGATCTCAATGTTAGCACTGTGTCGTGCCCTTTTGGACAACTCAGCTTGGGCCAGGAGACGCACTCTGGGAGTACCTGGCTGGAAGGAGACCTTGCAGCAGTAGGAACATGTGAAGCGTTGTCAACCGCAGCTATTCTTAGGAACCAGCCTTCTGCTCCAGGAAGTTATGAAGAGATGATGATGAGATCACCCGCGCCTCCAAGCTTACAAACACCCGTCCGAGCACATCTGACTATCTTGGAATCTTAGAATCAGCGCAAGCTTGCCAGCAGCTTGTTCATCGCACGACGTGCCGTGGAGTGTCTGCCGGGCAAATTTATCGGTAGAGAGCGCTAGATGCAAACAAACACTCCCAGACCCAATCTCTCACTGCAGCGTTGATTGCTAGTGCGCTGCACACCATGACACACATATCTTAGAGTCCTAGACCTCCGCGAGAATGCCAGAGCCTAAGCATCTCTCCTTAGGGGGTGCCATCGCATTTCCTGCCTCAAACATCACAGATCGATGAGGCTGCACCATCCCATCACGCATGATGAGATCTGAGATGTCTGCCTCAAAGCGCAGAAACTTGACAACTCTTTCCGTGGCGGGCACTGGAAGGCTTGAGGACCGAGATGCATCCACCACACCGCTCCTGGCTCGGGCTGGGAGGCAGTTCGGTACGCCCTCAATGCTGCAGATTTTAGCCTGGCAGGCTGCAATTGAACCACACGACCGTGTGGACTTGACTGGGTCCCCACAAAACTGAGTTCAGATTAGCCACAGTCAAGTTGAGGTCGTCCAGAGACCGTCCAGAATTCTCATGCATCTCGCCGCAGCGAACATCGCTGGAAGGGCCCAGTGCGAAGTAGCAGCCTGCAACAAACCGGAAAAGAGTCTTGGCCTCAATCTGAAGCCAACCCTGCTAGAGAAAATCAAGAACGTCTGTCGATGAACCCATCTGCATCCCCAACAGTTGTACTCTCAAGGAACCTTAAGTCATCAATAGCCCCTTCCGGTTCTTGAATCAATAAATTGGGCCTTCAGTCCTTTCTGGACACGCTCAAGACCCTGGCTCTGGAAGTTCCTGACCGCTGCCGGTCTTCCCGCTACTCCGAACAAAACGTGAAGCCTCGTCCTGGTCATGGCTGTAAGCTTCCTTTCGGTGAAAACCGAAAGACCCAACTTTTGCTCATATTAGATCCAGGCTGTCAGGTTGCCTCGTGGACTCTCAAGGAAGCCGAAGCAGTGCAGCTCACGCTGACACCAGCCATCGCAGCTCCACTTGTGGACCTCAGCTGCCGAGGGCATCTTCAACGCATTGGAAATCTTTCTAGCTTGGGCCAGGACATGAAACCGCACAAACACAACAGGCGTAGCTTATGGTATCACAAAAGCAGGAAGAAACGATGGCGGCGTATGATGGCACATACAGTGTTTCAAGCCAGCATGCGACCCCAGGACAGAATACCAAAACAGAGGCATGACCAGGTCCTTCTCTACACCTCAATTTGGACTTGATAGGGACGTTCAGCGGGACGTTCTTATCCTCTAGCATACAGAACCTGCTTCGCTCCCATTTAGATGGCAGCTTTGACACCTCAAATAACCATCGCGGCCTCCCACAAGAATGCTGAAGCTTTCCGGTGCATATGAGGGGCAAAAACATCCTCTTCGAAGGTCTTGTATACAGTCGTGATCTGATCAGGTCGGGCAATGCGAGATGGGATGCTGAAGTAGAACTGGTCAAAGACAGCCTCCACGCGCCTGGAGAAGATGCGCAAATGCCACGAAGCCACGGCTTCCAGGACTCTGTAGCTCTGTTCAAGATGAGTGGCATGGATACCAACCTCTCTGGAACTGCCAGTACACTCTGCTCAACATGCTTGCCCTCAATACATTCGGTGTATTCCTCACCGTTGTCCAGGACGCCTGTCAGCATCAATGTTCCTGACAAGAGAAGAAGCACGTCCAGCAGTGCTAGCCCCCACTCTTAGAAGAGGAGCTCTACGTGGGGTCCCACTTGCCCTCGTGATACACTGCACAGTCTGAAACTGAAGGCCAGTCACTGAAGTGAGGCTTCACGTGGATGACGGTAATCTGATACGTCTGCACCTGTCAGCACTAATACGGGTAATCACGTGCCATCACGAATGGGGTCGCGAAGCATCCCGACAAAACTCCCTATTATCAGAAGCCCTACTTCTAGTAGCACGTACTTGCAATAACGGAACATTATTGGCGATCATGAAAGGGTGCATGTCTGGGGGACGAATCAATCTCATGACCTGGACAATAGCCTGGACATGGCCTGGATGAGGACAGCTCTAGTTTAATGAAACATTGATGCCTTTTCAAATTCGATCAATCGTGACAGCAGACTACAGGTCTACGTGCAGCACCATATGTGCCCAGCCGAAATGTGATTCGCCAACAGCTTGAAGGCCATTAAGTGATATCAATTTGCTAAGACGGAAAGGATAAACATTAACGGCACATGGTCGAGCCAGGGCTTCAACACAGGGTCGATCAGGAGTTCAAGAGGGGTCAGTACTGAGGGTTTAAAATTTGTGCTGTATTCGGTGTAAGGTCTGTATCCACGTTCTAGCAAACTCTTCACATGAAATGCATACGGGATGGAACCTGATGCTTCTTCAAACAGAGGAGATGCGCGTTGAATGTACCCAAGAGCCCTTACACGGCTTGGGTCACAGAAACCTTGACAAGCCTGAGCCAGGCAATAAACAGACAATGGCTGTCAGTTAGCACAATTAGAAGGCAGCGAGACCAAGAACCCTGCGCCCCAATCTACTATGCCCTTGACACCCTTCGCCATTGCGCCCAACCAGCTCCTCAAAACACCAACAGGAAGCATCTGCACCTGGCTGAACGTGCCGGTGGTGAGGTGAATCGTTGTAGGATATGTGGCATTGATGCGTCGCAAGGGCACAGTATGAATCAGCCTAGAGCAGTCGAGAAAACCGCTTCATGAAAGGTCGAGCGACCCTTATTTATGCGAGCCAAGATGCACCCCTGAACTTGATTCACTTGAGGCATCATCCATCTCTGAATACCCATCAAAAACCTTCGCAGGCACTCAGAAGGCAAGGCAACAGCATGCCATCGCGCAGCACAGAACCGCAATGTGCTGCTCTGTAGAAACCTACATACCTGTTACCAGCGGACCTGATTCTTGGCAGAGCGAGGCACGGTGTTCTTCAAGAAGGTTGTCCGCTCAGGATCAGCCTTGGAGGTCAGAGTAAAGGCGGCGTAAGTGTCCAGAACGAACAGCCTGAGCATAGCAGAAAGCTTGAGACCAAAGCAAGAGTCATCCTATACTAGACGACATTTGAGTACCAACATCGTTCCAAGATCAAAAGCTTGAAAATCTTGCAGCATGTTGCAGCATAGCCAGGCAGCGAATAGTGCTGCACCTCTGGAGTGTAGCTGGGATGAAGTCCAGGGACGTCGGCCATGATAGATGTCATTTCTGGTACGTCCGTTCGATGCTTGATGAACCATGCCATGCCTGTAGGTCAGTCACAAGACCCGAGACTTCAATACGCTAGTGCAGTTTTGCAGCCAGTGAAAAGAGGAAAAACTTCGAGGAACGCTGAGATGCTAACCAGAGCCAGCAGCATGGTGAGGAGTGCCATGGTTGGCATGGACATGACTAAAAGCAATGCCCCGCAGGTGGACCGCCCGGTGCCGGACACGAGCCGTGGAACCCAGAACATGTCTCGCAGCCCAAAACGCTCGTCGCTCAAGGCATCTTGCTTAGCCACCTTTATGCTCACGTGAAGGTCCTGCCTGGCGCGTGCAGCACTGCATATGCTGCCTTCCGTAATGGGCATGAGCTTGTGCTTCGAGGATGGTGAGACCTCTTCGAGGCCTTGAACTTTGTCCAGCTTTTGCAAGCACATGCGCTGGATGGCCTCCTGCTCAAGCCGCAGGGAGTTGAGCAGTGAGGAGACCATGTAATACAACGGCGAGGTGAAAACGATGAAGTTGACTGTCATCGCTTTGGCTGTAACTCGTCCCTCATGCACGCGTCGGTAAGCATCGGTGACCAAAATCCCAACTGCAATCAGGAATCCCAAGTACGACCAGATCAGGAGAATGTCGCGCTGCGAGACCCCCTTGCTGAAGTCGATGATGATTCCATGTTTAAAAAGGGCGTGGTACAGCAACCTACGACTGATGCACAGGAAGATTCGAAGCAAAGCTGCCGGTCCAAAAATCAAGGGATACGTGAGGATAACTGCATCTGAAGGATTATCGTTTGTCCCAAACTTTTGCAAGAAGGTGGAGGCGGCCAACAGGAGGAGCATACAACCCAGTACGAAGCAAATCGCATCCAGCATGCCCTCAAGCATGATGTCAATTGCCTGGGCTCACCCCTAGACCCAAATCAGCAGGCCAACATGAGGTCATCTCTGATGGCATTTTTTTTGCATGGAGTTGTTTAAATGAGTTGTGCAATGTTTGCGCAAAATCTCCAGACTACAGATGCTCGACTTTAGGTGGACTAGTAGCCCGAGCAAAGTTGATTTTTAGAGGTCCGGCAAACACACGCTGCCAAGAAAGCATGGAATTACCTGTGCTTTGCTTCTCCGCTTGACCTACAAGCTTCTGGCCGCTAGAACTGCGCAGCCTGACACCAAAAAAGTGGCTAGCAAGACTGCGCAACAGCCAGCATGCAAAATGGTGCTTTCGTGAAGTGCGAGCAAGATGCTTCAGGAATGACTAATTGCTCGTCGACGTTGGTTGCACGCATGTCAAAGGCAGGCATAGCAAACAGCATGTACAGTTCGCGCAGTAACCAGAAGACAGCACCTGACAGAACGTTGCCAATAAGCAGATCTACTTAGGGTCACAAGTAAACTTGTTTTACTCTGAGCAGCTCCGACAAACCATGGGACATTCCATGCACATGTGCAGCTGTTCAGATACGCAACTGCTTAGAGACAGCCTCGGTGCCGTTCAGCGCCACTCTTTGCAGCAATGTTTCAAAGGCAAGCCACTCATGGTCACCACAACATTCAGTAACATCAGCCCCTCAAGGATGAAATCCTGGAAGAAGCTCTGCATGGCATCCAGGCGCTGCATCCTCAATAACATGTCTGCTTAATCTACATAATTGTTGTTTGCAACACGTTCTCGATGCCGCTCACATCCAGTCAGCCTGCTGTTGAAAGTGCTTGCTAATCTGGAGAACCCTTCCTGAAAAGGTTATGCTTTGCCGCAGACTTGCTTAAAGTGTGAAATATTAATCAAAGACCTGAATTTCCCTGACAAATTCAACATGACCAGTTGAGACTGCCGTCCTCCGAGCAGATATTGCAAAGCTGAAAAGATGCCGCAAGCGAGAGTGGCGGAAAGGCAGCATAATGCTTGCCTCGTGCGACTTGCACGCAGCTGCGACACAAGCACGAGGACCCGAGCATGTCTTGGACAGGTGTGCTGAAGTCATTGAGGCCGGCACTGCACAGCTCGAAGCATACTGTCCACAAAGGAAAAGCTGTGTGCCCGTCAGCAGCCTACAGTCTGACCAAGCAGTGATTAGCGCCTGCGTCAGGGTTGAAACACGGTGTTCAGAATGAGGCCTACAAGTTTTGAAGTGAATTAGGCAGGAAAAACTGAAAGGCTGGAGCTGCCGCTAGCAATTGACCCCCCAGCCTTCGAGCCCACATAGGGGTCGGTGCCTGGTCACGCGTGTTCGACTTGAAACAGATGAGTACATGGAGGTCTCTGGGCACGGAGGGACGGGGGACGGAGGGATGGATAATGCTGCACCAAGGTGCTGTTGATGACAGGCGCAACTGTTGCTTGGCAGGCCGCAGGCCCTCTGCAACTAGGATCCACCTTCAGGGTCCACTCATCCATAAAGTTAAGCTCCCGCGCATAGCTGTAGTTCAGCTCAAACCTGCAGTGAGCCGTGGCAGACCGTAATACTGTATAACAAGCACGGCGTGCATTTCTTTCCGTGCAAGCTTCTGAAGTCAAAACTAGCTCTGGTCTGATCTGGGACCGTACTGTGTGCAGGGCAACACGCAAAGAGCTGAAACGGATCATTGCCGAAATTGCCAGGCAGCACTGTTGGAACAGAGGTCTTGGACACGATGGTTGCTTGTGGGCATTTGTCCTCTTCTGGGACAGCTTCTGCATCTACATCTTCTACCTCAGTTGAGCTCTCGACATGCTTCTTATTGCATGCTCAGTGCAGCAAGAGTCCACTCTACAAGTTTCGGCGATGATCACATAGAAAGATTAAGATGGAAGCCTTGCAGAGGTCTGTGCTATGGATTCATGGCAACCAACCTGCCGCAGGGCCGGCTGAATCAAATGAGCTGCATCCAGGTTTGCGAAGTCTGCAAAGTGCTCATCCCGAATCGCGCGCAACCGGAGGAGAAGGGATGCGAGCAGCACATATCTATGCATTGAGCAGAAAACTTTCGGCCATGTGCTGACAAACAGATCCGAGGTGGCATGCAATGGTGGGCAACCCGCAATTGAAGCTTAGGTGCCCGAGATGTGAGACACTGAGCCTCTCTGTGCAGAAGTGGGGCTTCAGTGTCGCTCTCTTTGCTCGCCATGCGAGACCTTGGCCAAGAAAAAGCTTGTAGCAACCAGCCAACCATACTCCTTGAGACTTCGTCTGCAGTTGGCGGGGAAAGTGTTCGCTTTACTACGCCCTCATGCCCACTGAGCTAGCTGCCGCTCATTGTCACTCTCCATTGCAGCCCGAGTGATGGCATGCGGAATGAATTCCTGCACGCATGATGTAATTTGGTATTAGGGTGCTCCGTGCTTAAAAACATCCAATCTGGACTCATAATGTCCCTTAGTAACCTCTTCTTGCCAAATTATGTCTTCATGCGTGGCCTGAATCTGCACTCAAGTCGCTTTCAAACTCTTGTTTGTTTGCAGACCGTGCCGGTGACATCCCACTCCACTCTCCATCACCTTGGACAACCCCAACCCAACGAACTCCAGCGTTCCAAATGAGGCACTGTTCCCGCAGTCCTCGCTGCAATTCCGGTTCACGGACGAAGCTGCTGCTGCTTTGATCTGTTCCTCAGAAAGCTGGAGGGCTGCTGAAGTCTGGGGAGCTGGTGATGGTGCGGGCGACCAGGCACTTCAAGACCGCTGGGGCTGGGTGGGGCATTAACTCACACAAAAGCTGCATGTTCGGAAACATGCTATCGAATTTTTGGGGAATCCAGGGTTCGCCCTTCACCTGAGCATGCGGCAAGCTTTCTCTTGAGGCGCGCATAGGCCACATACTTGTCCTGGCCAGCGTCACAAACGCACGGCACTTCTGAGCCTCTGTCAAGAAAGTGAGTGGATGCACATAAGGATTGGGTCTACATCAATTCCTGTCTATCATTGCATTGACAAAGATATGTGTCTCGAGACAGGTGAGCCCTTCTCACAAATCATTAAAACAAATGCTGTGTAGCAGCTTGGCGCTACTGTAGAAGCTGCACATGCCGCTGCCACCCGCCACTCCGGGACAGAGCGTTCTTCAATTTGCTTCTCCCATTGCACCATAGACTTCTAACTTCACCACCGTAACATCTATATTCCTTTTGCCTCTTGCTACTTTCAGCATCATCATGGGCCAAGCAAGGCATTCTCAGATTCATGGAAATTTCTGGCGACTAATTCCCTGAGCCATGTCCTGTGCTGCTGCACCTAAGCTCTGTCTTGAGCCTCGATACGATTTTGTAGCTTCTCTTTGGCAATGTGTGGCGTGTGGCGCTCGCGAAAGACTTCCCCTCGCATTGCTAGTTGCAACCCTGGTAGTCAGTAGTCACTACATAGAATATGATTGCTGGAGCAGAAGATGCTACGCTTTAACATGCTTTAACAGGTATTGCAACCAGCTCTGGTGTACACTTTCTTGTTCCCCATGCTCTCCCATCACCGAGATGTGGTCGGGGCTCTTTTCCTTCGCGGCTCAGGGCAGGCGAGATCGCAACCTTGCACCGGACGAACGGTACAAGAGGCATCAAGAGGCAACATCGTGGCAGACTGCTGAAGAAAAAATGTTTCGTTTTCCCAAGGGGTTGCGACACATTGCTGCGACCTGAGACCTGAGATGTGGATGAATATTAGATACTTTAAGAGCAACTCTCAAAGCGTCAACTGCGACCACTGCGGGCTGCGCCTTGTTGAACCGCACTGGAAAATCGCCTTGTGAAACCCCCACAAGGCTCCCTGGCCAGGTCAGTTGAAGCGTCAGCCAACTTAGGCCGATGTTTTGGCTCTACGTGGCCCCGGTAAGATTGAATTGCAGAGCACAGGGGCCGAACCGCAAGACTGACAAGAGGAACGACAGGTGAACTGCAGGTGCAGACAGCCAGCCTTGCTTGCATGCTCTTCCAGTTGACCGCAGGGCCTGCAGCGGACAGAGTCATTACAGTCCAGGTGAAGGCCGAAACTGTATCAGTGGCAAAGAACTATCAAGCTTCAGTCTACCAAACCTGCCGGTGTTGAGGGGAAGAATGAATAGCAAAATCACTCTAGCACCTCAATGCTAAGGATGCTTGTGGCAAGCCTCAAATCAACCATCATGCGCCATCTCTGACAGCCTTACACTCAAGCTAAGGGCATCGAGGAGTGCTAATGCAAATGCTGCACATACCATCCAGACTGCAAGTCCGTATACCAAAGCTACAAGTTACTGCAAGGAGCATTCTTTGCAAAAGGCACGCTCAAGTCTGCATGCAATTGCAATGCCTGGACAGCGACTTACTCGCTGTCGCCAGTGCCCGGGAGGCAGATCTGCAAACAGTTGGATCATTTTCGGACTGTCATTCTGATGCTATTGGCTTCAGGGGCCTAAGCTTGAACATCCAAGAAGCATGATCAGGAGATTGATCCGATCGAGGCCAGCGCAAAGGTTGCAGGAACGAATTCTTGCAACTACTGTATGGAAAAGCTGCGGTGCACCCTGGCTGGAACGCCATGAATATGCGAACAAATAAACGGCGCGTACAGGTGCAAGCGAGAAATTTCTGTTGGGAACCTGCCTGAGAACATCTGAGTTGCAAAAAACGTCAACGAAGCTTCAAGGAAACTATCCCAATTCTGTCAGTAGTGGGAATGACAGCGGGATGAGACAGACGGCTGGAGCTCGAAAGCTTGCAAGGCTGATGAATTCTGGCTAGGTAAAACGGCCCGATGAGATCTTCCTTGGGCCACATTGTCATATTTCAAGGCGCAAAGCCCAGCCTCCCCATGAGAGATGCAGTCGAACAGCCACGCGGCAGTCATGGAAACCCACCTTGCAAGAACAACTTCAGCAGGTTTTGCCATGATGTCTCGCCCAGATTACACCTCGTTGCACAGAGTTGCTGCTCCTGGTTGTTTAATCAATCGGTATGTACCTTCCTGGTCTGGTTCTGAAATTCTCGAGCTGTATGGACAATCCAGCCGCTATGCTGAGAATTGGGCCCTAAGTCTTTGGCCAGCTTCGTGGACCGGCGAGGGCCCTCACCTTCCTGGCGAGCTTTCATGAAACCGGGAGCTGCTGTAACGACTGGGCAGCCTGAGCAGCTCAGGCTTAATCTGATCCAACCTGGGGTCCCTGTGATCTCGACGAACCAGCTCACCAGGAAACTCTCACTCTCCTACGACCTGGGCCAGGGCACCTTCGCCTCAGGAACGCTGACAACGATGGGCTTTCGCCACCTCCCCATGCGCAGGCCGTCTGAATCCTCCTCTGAGCTCTGCTCAAGCCTGCTCTTTTCCAAAGAAACTAGGCTGATGACCAAAAGCGCGGCAAACCAAGCTCCTGCAATGGCAAAAGCTAAACGATGCCGTTAAACAGAACTGGAATGAACTGGCTCCCTGCAAAGGCTGGCCCTGGCTTTTGCTCCGGTCTGGAAGCCACACCAAACCACAGCAGGACTTAAATGGTGGACTTGGCCCAAGCAAGCGCTGCCAAGATTAATGAGTTGAAAGCGCCGAGGTCAGAAGGAACGACCCTGGCAAATTATGCTGAGGGAGATTCCCATCCTTTGCATATGCGGAGCTTGAAGAACTCAGCCTTCTCTTGGACCTCGGCGGCCAGTTGCCGAGCTCACAATCGCACAGCAAAGCCATGTCCACGTGACTTGGCAGCAAACCTTTGCAGCACTGCTGCAGCCAAATGTGGTGGGTCGTCCTGGGCGGACTGGAGAGGCTTCTGCAGACATCCAGGGAACCCACCGCACAACTCTCCTTGGCATCAGGTAGCATCTGAAGAGTCTCAAAGACCTTCCGAGAGCTGACATGATTCTTATTTCCAACGAATGTGCACTGGCATCTGTCCCGCTGTGGGACTGTGTCGAACTAAAGGCGAGTCAGGGACAAAAGTCAATCTGAGCTTTGTATTGCTCAAAGGTCTGATGTAACGAGCCTCAGCACCAGCCTTCCGCGCAAGGCGGGCAAGCTCTTTGGCGGTTGGCCCCTCCTCTTGCTTGGCACACGTGAAAAACTTGTGCAACTATCCTAAATGCAAAGTGTCCGGCTTTCGTTCCTGAAACCAGTGAAATGGAAGGACTAGTCTGACTCCCTGATTTTAGAATCCCCTTGTGGCACCCATCACATTTCACAAACTCCTTTCTACACGTTCGGCCAGATTCCAGCTTCGCGCAACAAAATCCCACAAGGTAAGACGAATATATCCTCAACGACCCAAAAACCAGTGCAGCACTGTGCCAAAGCAATGGCGATGCAGGGCACTCGTGAATAAGCTGTCTTGCGAATGCTTTCCCGTTAGGTTTAACTCAAGATTGTCAGGGAGGCGAGATCGCAAAAAGTCATATAGTGTCCATGACAAGGGCGCACGTAGGACACTCTTTGAAAGACTGGCGGTCCTCCTCTGTTGAAAGAGAGGAGCCAGGCTTGTCCTGCTTCTTCGACAAAAAATCCGAAATTTGATTCAGCTGAATGGGATAGACCTTTAAAAGAGTTCCGCCCCGCCTTCTTGCTTCGCGGCGTGGCCTTGGACACGCACAGTGCTGGCCATTCCAAACTCGACGGCCTCCTATGCTGCTGCAAGGCCCTGGCCACGAAGTGAAAACGGCAGCCGGCGAAGAGCTCAGGGCCGTAGCGCCGCCCTAGAGCTGGACCGCCCAAGCCGTTCGGATCCCCGGCAAGTTCAAAGCGGGCCTGCAGCCAGCAAGTCAGGCCCAGGAAGGAAAAGGAATTGGGGAGCCTTTGCAGGAGGTTAAGAACTCTGTTTGCTGTTTCCATACAGCTAAGAGCACGAGCCTCAGGAAGCCAATGTCCTGCACGCAGGGATGCGTCGACCCACTCGGGGGACAGGACCCAGGCACCCATCAGGACTCCCTCCATGTACTTCACGGACCGCTTGGACGCAACCTGCAACATGTCTTCGCCCCGATCACCTCGATGCTTCGTCATGCACTGAACGACAAGGCGGACGTTGGTCCTGCGGTTTGCCACAGCAGCGCTCAGGGAGTTCACGGCCAGCCCACCAAGCAAGTTTACCGCCTCTCGAAGCCTGGCCACTTTCATGCACTGGGTCTACGAAAAGGCTAAGGCACCGTTTGCTAATTCTGCCGCTGCTCTGGTGGAGGCTTATTCACCCTTTTTTTTTCTAGGGCAGCTGTCTAGTTACTTGCTCACACAATGCAAAACGCAAGATGAGGACGCAAGGCCTGTGAAGGTCGCTGCGTGCAAAGCCTGTGAAGAGGACGTTCGGGCGCTCCGGTGCCGAGCTCACGGTCACACCCTCAATCGCCTGTTCTCGGGCTGGAGCTTCTTTCCCCAAGACCCAGCGCGCACCCTTGGCCTTGCGCTTCTGAGACAGGCGCTGCGACTTACGCTGCGAGCTTCGCTGCGAATTGCGCTGTGAGCGGCGCTGGGACAAATGCTGGGACAACAGGAGACGCCCTCGACGCGCAAATCTGCTCTCCAGCGGCACATGTGCCCCTTGGCACCGTGAGGCGTTTCCAGCAAACTTACTGGCCTGAGACCCACCTCTTGCAGTGACAATCATCTTGACGGGGCTGTCTGCAGTGCAAACGAGTTGGTCTGACGGTGGAATATTGAGATTAATACCTTCGCTCTGAATCTTCGTCCGCTTTGGATAGCTGCCTCGCACGTCATAATCAGTACAATCAATGATGTGCTTTCCTGAGTATCGGATGGGCTGGCCATGCGCATGCTTAGTTGCACTTCCTTCAGCACTGGCGATGCTGGGGCCAAAGTCCGGCAGCGGCTCGCACTCCTTAATGCCCAGGCTTCTGAGCCCAGAAGTTTCTTTCTTTAGCATTCCACGCGGAGAGCTTTGCCCGCATGCGGCGCTTGGTTCCAACTCTGATCCTGCACGCTGTGATGAGCGCTGCTGGATGTGCTTCTCCTCTTGCTCCTGCATGTCCTCTGTCTCAGCCTTGTCCTGCAAAGCGCCATGTATCGGATTGTCTGAGAAACTCTCAATGAGATCTCCATCTGGAATTGGAGGAAGAGGAGGAACAGGAACAGGAATAGCTGACTTACGCCTCGCCCGTGGCGCCCGCCGGTGCGAAGCATTGGAAGGCAATGCCTTCGGAGGAGGACACGGTGCTGGGACTGCAGGAAGCGGCTTCGGCAAGTTTGGGACACCAGGCCCTGGTGGCACACGAGGGGCGTCGTCCAGATCTTCTAAGCCCACCGGTACGACCTGGAACAGCTGCGACTCCATCCCGTGTCGAGGGACATCCTGTAAAACCTTCAGAGGAGAGCTCGGAGAGTCCGGCGAGCAAAGCAGCGAAGCCACCTGCACCTAGGAGTTCAGACGTCATTTCCAACAATGCGCATGGATCAGTGTCGTGTCGGCATACAACGGGAGAGTGTGTGTTGGGGTCTGCCTTGTACTTTGGAGCTGCTACCCATTTAGTGGCTGTTCCTGGCATACCATAAAAACGTTGGGGATTGCACATCCAATGTACTTGATTTCGGATGTTGTCGACGGACGCATGCCAGAAATGCCGCACATGTTACAAAGAAGCCTCTGGCTGCTTTGCATCAAAGCTGGCACATCTCAAACTGGCAAGAGATGGCAACCCACCAATTCTGCGAGTGCGGATCATTTTTCAGTGCCTACGCTAGCAGAGTCCGGTGGTCCCACCCATACCCCTAAAACATTATCCTTGCCAAGCACTTAAAAAGACGGAAGACAAAACGCATTATCATCGACGAATCGAGGCAAGGGCTGTATCCTCAGCATTGGCCAGTCGCCTTCCAGACAAAGCAGCTGGGCCTGGGACAGGAGCAGCGGATGATTTCGATTTGCTCAGCCTGGAAGCTGAGCAGCCTCTGAAGTCCTTCGGTGGAATCTGCGTGGTCTCTTCCTCTTGCCAGAGCACCAAAGCCTCAGCACATGCTAAAAGTAGCAGTTCACACGGGTTGCTTCCCGCAAGCCACAATGCAAGATGCAGAGGAACTAGAACACAGCCTTGTGGTAAGAAGTGTTATGGCTGTCCCACATTGAGTGGCAGGCACTTTGAGGCCCTTCTGAGGCGGGCAGCACACCTGCTTCAAGGCAGGTGAGAGCTTCTGTCAGTTCTGCTCCCCACTCCTCCCCACAAAGTGTTGGCGCTTGCCCTGCACTGGGACGACTGACAGCTTGAAGAAGCTTCTCAGGGAACCTGGTCCATCAAGTGCTGCTGGCACTGCGGGTGCAGACTGCGGAGGCTGTGCAGGATGGATGCCTCGGACGTCAGTTGCGGCAGCAACAGTGGAAACCCTTGCGGATGACAGTTTGCACTGCCAGGGCTGTATGAGTGAAGAATGTTGGAGCCGTGAAGAAAAAAAACATTTGCCAGGGGGCAAAGTTCAGCATGGAGCTCGTTTTGTTCGCCCGGCCCTGGGCAAGAGCTTTGCACCAGCTGGCCAGGCCATGCAGGCCTTGGCCGCTCCGCGGCACTGCTTTCGCTTTGCTAGAATTTCAAAACTTTTTTAGGCCCCTTGCACTGTTGAAGGTGTGGGCAGCAGCGCTATGGCCTCTTCAAGCTTCATGAGAGTGTGGCTCTGCATGCCCCACTCTTGTCTACTTGGCCGTGAGAAGTGACTTGCCCGATCTCAATTCTCTCAACCCCTCACTCCACACCCACCGACGAAACTAACGCTGCCTCCTCAGGAGCAGGAATGCAAGGCACTGGCCACCTCGCATCCCCTGGCATTGAAGGCATTGCACCTCACACGAGAGCTGCCTGTACAAGCCCTACAGATAGCAGACATCATCTTTCCCACACACACAAAGAACAACCACAACCCCTGTCAAACCGCCTGCTTGCGAAACAGTTGAACCAAGCAATCAAAGCTGATCAAAGCACGTTGGCTATCTGCTTCGTGTCTTCCTCGCTACAGCAAGCATTGGAAAGCGAAGGACAAGCAAGCGCAGCAAAGAGCAAGCTTGCAATCCCAGTCAATGGTCATCTCCAGAACTAGTCAAGTAGCGAGCACAAATGTTCTCAAGAGGAAGCGAAAATAATGAGTCGCGATAGTAGCAGAGTAGCAGGAATTCACACATCCACACAAAAGCTCAAATCGATGCACGCGTTTTTCAGTCACCTCCTACCCAACCAAAAAAGCAATTAGCAACAACGCAAAGCGAACAAGCCAATGGTATCCTTGATTAGAGCCTCAGAGGTGGTCAAAACACCAGCCAACAAGTCATAAGTGTCCCCGAAGTCCTGGTCGGCCCACACTCCTGCCGAGCTTCCGACTCGGAGCGATGCTGAAGCAGTCTGCCAGCGGAATGCTTTCCGCTGCCATCATCTGACAGCCAGGCATCTCTACAGCGAAAGCACGCAGCCAGAACTTGTCCACAAGTCCGAGCATTACCACGCCCACCAACAGCATATGATACGCCAATTCTTTGTCCTGAGTCTTCCTTGCGCATGGCATTGGAACGCAAAACTTGCTGCACTGCTGGCCTCGTCCAGGGCACGAATTGTCCCGTTGATCGTTTCCAGCTGACGCAGCAACTCCTGCACCTGCACTCTTGCAAGACATGCTTTCCAGGCACGCCCCTACTTGGGACAGGCAGCAAGAACATACCTTTGCATTGCGCAAAGTCGCAACTCTTTGCCCAAGAGGGCATCATGCAAATGTGCACTCCTGCATAAGTTTCTGGGCCCATGGCATGCCCGGCCACTTTGTTAGCTCACGCCCTGTTGTACAAACGCGGACACCTCATTTCTAGTGAGAGCTGAACTTGGTGTCTTCGAGCAAGTCGCGAAATGTTGCGCTTATTTTCTGACGTCGGGTCCGCGCATGGCAGCATTGTAGGCCGTTACAATTTGGATTCGAAGCACCTTATATGCGGGATCTTGCCTGCCATCCGGTAGGGTTCTCCACTGTAGCGCACCAGGAGGTGATTTCAAAAACGGAAAACTAAACTGGAACTTCTTGTGTCCATCGAACCCATGCACCAGCTGCAGGGAAGTTGTTTGCATCAAGGGAGTGCCCCTTGAAAGTGTATGCCGGGTCGGAGTTTCGCAGCCAGCTAAAGGATCGAATTGGCGGATAGGGCATGATAGGGTCCAACTAAATGCGTCATTTACTCCGTGTAGCCAATGCACAACCCGCTAGCGGCAATTAACTTAACGACATCTTTAGAAATGGGTCTTGCATTTTCTGAGTCATGTCGGTACCTGCAGCGTGTCGGGTAGACCGAGCATGGCCTTGTCTGGCTGCCTGGCAAGGCATGATGGTAGGCGACATTTCTCACACTCCCAGGCTTGGGACCTTGCATCCATATGCCTTCTAATCATTCTAATCAATACAGCTGAGTTTTCTTGGTAGTTGAACCAGGCTTCTATAGCCCAAAAGGATGATACGATATATTTGCACTTGTAGAGCCGTATTCCCGTTGAATACTACGGCTGGTGTGCACAGGCCTTCGCTCGCCCTCGACCATCACGGCTTGACTGGCCTGGGCTGCCTCAACAAAGGACTTTGATGTCAAGATGGTGGTTTCCCAAAATGAGAGCACCCCAATATGGATCTCAAAACACGATAGTCCTTACTATAGGGAACTCCAAAAAGGTACCCCTAATCAATTTAGGAAGACCCCAGATCTTCTCCACAATCCCATCTTGCAAATCTGGGTACTGCTATTCTCATTCAGCTGCAATTGCGTCCAAATCATTAATTAATGATCCTCTCTGCGATAAACTGCTCAGGACCACCAGGCCTGGAGACTCTCCCGAAACTCCGTGACGCCTCTTGAGTTTGCGGGACTTTAGCGATCACATGCTAGCAACAAAAGTTTGCTGCTTGTTCCATAGCCTTTGAAGAAAGTAGCACCAACTCGACTAAACTTAGGTTTGACTCCTTGTTTGGGGAGCTTTTGAAGCTCAGCTGAAGCTGATTACAACCAGTGCAACTGCACTACCTCACGCAGCTCAAGTGCCTTGTGCGAGCTGCTGAGCTTGCTGGACCAGGCTCAGAAGGCCTCTGCCCACGATGCATTTCGAAGTGCTTTCGCGCGCAAAGCAGCTTTCGAGACTGCTTGTTGGGTTGCATGGCGCCTGAGGATGCTTTTGGTGCGTGCAGGAAGTTCTCCAACAGCCGGCTGAAGTCGCCGCAGCCCGCCAAGATCTTTGCCAAGTCATCCATGGGGCCAGATCTGAAGGCCTTCAAGCACCTCTGCAAAACACAGGCTTTTTCCTTCTTTCTGAAGAGTGATGAGGCGTGGCTTGGCTCCGGACACACCACACAACAGGCAACCTGCCGCATCTCACCTCAGCTGCTCAGCCTTTTTGGAGCGCATTGCTTGAGACGCGCGGAAGATTCAAAGGAAGGAAAATTGAGGAGCTTGCCCTCAGGCATCTCCAGGTCTGCAGAAGACCCCATGGCAAGAGGAAGCCCGAGCACAGGTTTGCTTGGTTCTGTGAGTTGGACTGGGTCAGCAACCGGCGATGTAAGCTGCACTCGTTGTGGTTCGAGCTGTTACAGAAATGGGGGGGCAGCTACCTTCGTGGGCGTGGCGGGCTTTAAAAAGCTCTTCTGATCCCGCCAGTGAACCGTTTCGAGCGACCGTTTCGAGCAAAGCTGTGTCCAATGGATCCATTCGAGTGTCTTCTTAGCAGCACGGACCCCTCGAGCTCTATCCAGTCTTCAGAAATGGCTAAGCATAATCCCTTCCCTCACTCACATAACAAGTACGACATCATGGCAAAGGGGACGTTACTTTGCTTGAGAATTTGAATTCCAGGAAAATAGGGGAGGTTCAGCCTCACTCGTATTCCATTTGGCTGGAAAATTAACTCACTCGGCTTTTGAGGCCACCTAGAACCCACAAATAAACACCACACTTACGAAGCAGAAGAAGAGTTCCGGGTAGTTTTTGCTTTCTTGCTCACTGTTGGCAGCACTCTTCATCGGTGAAACGAGGGGGTCCCTGCACCCTCGGAGTCTTACAAGCGGTGCATATTGGATGCTTGCAGGATTGTAGTGTTCTCAACCTTCCTGGTTCTGGTGCGTTCACTGGGCAAACATCTCCGCTGCCAATCCACCTTTATCTCTCCGGTGGAGGCTGCTCTGTACAACCATGCAGGGCTGAGCAGCCCAAGTGAAACTCTCATGACAATGAATTCGTAAAGATCTTGGAAAGTCTAGGTATGCTGATAACACATGTTGGAGCAGGAAGCGTGGACTTTATTTTGTCGTACATCTCTGCAGCTTGCTGGATGACGGGTGTCTTGTGGCGCAGTTTGCAGCTGCGACCCTAAACTCTTCAGTAGAAGGTACGGGCGCGAGCATCTCATTCGATGACGAGCCGCTCCACGCCAGCGGTCGAAGCATCCATAACCTCAAATGTCAGATCGTGGAGCAAAGTCAACAGTGGCAATTAATTGCAGAGGCTCGATGTTGGTCTCTCTTTGCCAGACTGAAGCTGCTTCTCTACAGCACCACAAAGAGGCTGAGCTGGAAACAGTCCTTGAAGCACCCATGCCTCCATACCTGGCGGCATTTATAGGTCCCAAGGCCGAAGCACCAAAACATCGTGAAAAATGCATTCTGAACTGCAGCTGCGCCTTCGGCAGATTATACTTACGGAACAATTACAAATTACAACACCCCTCGTGGAATCTTCGGAATGCTCCCCTCAGCAACATCTGAAACACCAAAGTTTTGCCAAAGAGCCTTGCATACGATCAAGACTGATGGAAGGGGGAACCCCTATCCTGACGTTTGCTTGGATGGGTGGTGAGATGTAGTGAGTAGCCGTGGATGTCAAGGCTGGGAGCCTCAGCCGGTTCCCTTTTCCCGAACAATCTACGTCCCAGCCTGCCCTCGGCCATATTCTGCAACTCCTGCATGGACACCTGCATATGTTGCTCATGATAGGGTGGAGACATCTTGAAGTCGTGCTTCGCCAGTTTGATTTGGGCACGAGATTCTTGGGATGCTCAGTTATTCTCACCTATACTGCAGTGCTCTAGCAAAGTGGCGTGCGCAGCTTCCTGACTGTGACTGGCGTGCACTTATCGCTCCGCATTCAAGAGCAAGATAGATTCGAAATCTGAGAAAATCCGTCACACGAATGCTCGGAGCAGCGAGAAGTTCATGTTCCGGTCGCGCTGACAAGGACTTAGCATCCACTTAGCTCTCAGGCCAGCAAATAGAAAACACGCGTATGCTTGTCAAGGTGGCTGGAGGAGCCACCTTCAGACTTTGTGCTTCCTGTAGGCAATTTACGAACGTTTTTGAACCAATGCCTTAATGCCTTAAGCTTGGCCTGCAGCATGAGTCTTCTCGGGCCGGCATTGAAAGCCGGCCCCTTGCTGCGCCAGACTGCCGTGGTACTTGTTGCGAAATAGCATGCTTTCGTTTCAGTTCCATTTTGCCTCAGGAGGTGGCGTTCAGCCATCTATGAATGACTAGATTTATGGATCACGAACCTTGTGCGCATAAGGCTGGAAAGATGCCACGCTGGTGGCAGGGCTCTGACAGTCTGCTCCTTATAGCCGGGCTTTTCATTCGGGTGTCATTATTTCCTAAGGTCCAAACGCGGGGAGGAGTACATTAGGCCGCTTAGGTCATCTAATTGCAGCGCACTAAATAGACCAGCTCACAGCCGATAGTTGCTCGCCGAGCAGGTTCAGGGTTTCACAAGGCATCTGTGCCAGCTGTTTGCACGTGGCAGTGCCGGATATTGCCATTTGGAAGCTGAATCTTCATGCAGATGTTCTCATGCACAACAGCTGAAGCGCATGAACGCTAGGCCCGCAGAGAGAATTCTCAAATGCCACGTGCCTTGAGCTTGATCTGTATCAGCTTCTCTAGCTGCACAAAAGCTCTTTTTTGCTTCAGGTTCTCCTGGAGCATCCAAGCACACACGCGTCAGAAGTGAGTCATCTGGCAAGTATATCTCTGGCCCCCCGCGGTCACAAGGCCTCGTGAGACTCCTTTACGACCTTCTGATCTTTGCGAAGATCCTGGCTGGGAAGCAAGCTTCTCCAACTACCTATTTATGTTGAGCTGGTCAACCAACAGAAAATGAACGCCACCAATGTAAGCACCCGCGACTCAGCCAACTTCTGGCGTCATCTATGCAAACATCAATCAGAATTACAGCCTCCTAGTCATTACAGGATGCCAATCAATTCGGAAACCTACGAGAGGACAACAAAACATGAGCGCTCATCCTGTTGTAGGGCTCGCAACAATACAGGGCAGGAATGAAATTGATAACACTGCAGAAGCAAGCCATGTGTTAACATGGATCGCAGTAACAACGTGGTTGGCAAGCGGCGTGTTCTCGAGCCTTGCACTGCTCGTCCAGCTTGCTGATCTCTGCCGCATACTGATCAGACAGAGTTGCGTACTCCTGGCTGAGCAGCCCACTGCTGTTCACACCGTCATTTATACGCCCAGCGCAAACAAAAAACACTTCACGTCCCAGGTATTGCAAATTTGGCCATCAAGAATGTTGTGCCACGAACGAAAGCGGTGTTTGACATGTGCACATCAAGCCCCAAGCAATAAGTCTCCAAAATATTTCAGAAGACTCGAGAGGACCAGAATGACCAGGCTGCGTCGAGATGCTGGTACGCTTGCCTGATAGGAAGGCAAAAGCGATGCCTGTGAGTGGCGCGCCCCCTCTTCTCTTCGAAGGCATCGCGCTTCCCACTGCGCTCTTTGCAGCTTGCCTTGGACACGCAGTCATGAAGAAGCAGTTGGAACTGTTGGAACTCACAAATCTTCCTCCGAAATGACAACAATGTGACCACAACAGACCTCGTCATTGCCTCTTGAAACTTTGACACTACCACACCTTGATCCCATCTGCTATGATCCCTGCTTGCTGTGATCCCTGCTGCTGCAACACCCGTTCTGGCGATTGCTGTTCATACTGGTGTTCTTATTGCTATGAAGGCTACTAGCGACACGACTGCTGCAGGGTCGATGGCAGTATGGTCTGGGGCGCTTACTACTGCTGGAAAGTAGATCGTTGCAACCAACAGCAGAATACCGGATCATAGCGTACTAGCTGCAGCGCAAACAGAATTACAACTTCTTCCAAATCCTCATCTAGCAAAAGCAGTAGCACCACTTTTTCTCAATGTCAATCCTGGCAGGGCTCCTAATTACTAATTGCTTTGGCTTCATGGCATTCGAAACTGCACTGGAACGATGCTTGTATTCGGCCCCTTTCAAACAAAGCAGGACCTGAATGACAGTCTGGGGGAGTATTGGAAGCAGCACTTGTACTACGACTACGAATACCACTATACCACCATACTATACCAGCACCACTACTACTATTATCCTCACTACTATAACCTTGCCCCCACTGCCTGCTCTAGGGCCCTGGTTCAAGTGTTGTAGTTCTCCTTGCTGCCTGCTTTACAGTTGGTTTTTCCCCTTCTCAGAAGGGTTTCGTTTCCCATTTTCCAGAGTTGCGCCTAAGCATTGGCCGTAGTATATGCAATGTGAGATACCGGAACATTGCAAACTCCAAGGTATGCTACGGCCGCAAAATTGTCAGGAGCTGCCAACAGAACAATGTTTTGCCTGTGACAGCGCCCGAGGTCGCTCATGACCTTCCTCCGCTTAGTTTGCCACACCTCCTTATTTCCCACTACTATTTCCGTCGTAACTGTAAATGTTTTTCGGCAGCAACAAGCAGGAGAATACAGACTGTATCAACTTCAAAAGTATTGGAGCACAAGTAGTAGCAGCGATGCTGACAATACCTGTGCTTGCATAACGCATCCCATGTCACAGCAGGTCTGTTCCTAAGACTTGCAGATCTCTGCACTTGACTTCCTGCCAGGTCACTTTCGGCGGTCAAGAGCTGCATGTTCAGCTCGTGGTAATTCTGTGCAGGTGTGAGGTCAGGCAAATAGGAGGTCTCCCACAGAAAGAATTGCGGCAACAGAGTTCCGTTTTCAAAGCTCACTATTCAAGATCCTAATGTGAGCGTTTTGGCTTCGGGAACGCAGATGTATGAACCTTTGTAAGCTCCCCTGGCCAACCTAGCTGCGATTCGAAATGGCACAAACAGGATGCTTGAAAAGAGCCGCAAGCACAGCTCCAGAATGGCTAACTTCCGGACCCCAAGAGTCTCACCTGCTCGGCTTCCTGAACTTCGTTCTCAAGCTGCCGAACCTTAACTCCGATGCGGGAAAGTGCTGTTGCACGTTCGTAACGACTGCTCCTGTTTTGGGTGAGGGAGGGCATCCATTGAGGCTACAAGCAGCGCGATGCGAGACACGCTGTGTTGAGTAGTAGTGGCCTAGCCCCTCGGCCTCACCCCCTGCATGCGACCATCTCTTGTTCATGCGAGCAATGGATTAGCACTTCTGCGAAACAGCTTCACCGCGTTGGCCACTTCAAAGTCGAGGAGTGACATGGAAAGTTACGTACTAAAGTTGGATGCTAGAACAGTGAAGCATGGCAACAACGGCTGTTTTAGCCGAGTCTGTGCATCGATCGGGACTAGTTGACGTCCCGCATAGGAGGATTAAGATCCACATAGGCTTGAGCTTTTTCAGGCTCCTGCCTTAATCCTCCCAGAGGGTCTATAGCGCTTTTTCCTCTGGCTGAAACATGCCAAAGGCTAACTTAATCGCGGTCGAAACAATGACGGATGACTCAGGGTGGGATTTGCCTCAGTTGCAGTTGTAAAACTCTGCGCGCAGAGTCCCATTGCTTGCTGGCCATAGCATTTATGCACGGCACCCATGAGCGTGGAATCCTCTATGCCGACGTTTTGACGGCAAACCTCAACTGCATCGGAACTCCAACAAGTGGCTGAATGAGCCAAAGATGACAAAACGCTGTTGAATCCAAAGAACTGTTTGTGGATGCTCATCATACCTTCGTCAGAGTCATCCAGAAAGAAGTCGAAGTCATGACCGTGTTGAGCCAGCTGCATCATCCACATGCTCAGCCTCAATTGGCACGAATGAGTTGTAACCCAGTTGTCAAGGCACAACTCTCAGAGCGAACACCATCATGGCTTCATGGCAGCCCCGCTGCATGATGAGTTGAGTTTGCAGCTGCTCAACGCTTGGGTCCTTAGGGATCGAACGGGGGACAGCACATCCCGAAGCAAGCCGCGGCCAAGCGAAACCCTGCTCAAAAGAATTGTCACTTGTATTGCCACATGATATACTCTGTGATGCAATACATGCTCCGGCGTATCTATATGTCAGGAATACCTATGCGGGCGGAACATCTTGTAAGACTGGCTTCCAGCGCAATCTTCACGCGCCAATCAAACCAAGCTGCGTCCATTAACTTGATTGTCTTGCAACATGGAATTCGGCCAGATGCGTCCATTGTAGGCTGTGCAGGGGTGAAAATTGCATCACACATGGGTACGAATCAGAATGCAGACCTTCCCACACAGAAGTGCACAACAAATCTGACTACCATGACCGGCGCATGGCTCTTGCCGAACATGCACTGCACTCGAACGAACGAAACATGCGAAACACCACGGTTCTGCAATTTTACCCACTTCTCCCCTGTGTGTGTGTGTGTGGGTGTGTGTGCGCCCGTGCACCCTGATTCTAAGGGTATTTGGAAAATGTTTTCTGACGGTGTTGAAGCCATAGCAGCATAGACCTCATTTTCAAGCAGGGGGCTTGAGGCTCACAGCCTGTTTGAGTGTGATATGATCCTGGGACGCTTAGATCACGTACTTGCATGTACAGAGTGTTTGCCTTTTTTGGAAAGCCGCTCTGGATCATTCATCCAGAAGACAGGGGTTCCGCGTGCTTGCTGATGGACAGTCATGCGTAGCATGCCTCACCAAGAATGATGGATTGCATGGCGCATGATAGAAAATTTGGACAGGCATGGACTTGATGGAGGCTTTGTCATACATATCAGGTTTCATGTATGTAGGAAGTCAGCTGCGACGCACGTGCTGCCGACGCTGGGGACACCGCTGCATACAGCTTCCGATCCACCTTGCTGAGAAGCGAAACGGTCGGGTCAAAATGGCATCTGGAACTCCTCCCCCGTCCTGCACCCTAGATTCCCGCATGAATTTGCTATCATGAACAAATATGTTCTCCGCAACAAGTCTCAGCTCACATGATGACACTCCCCCTCGTCCCTCCTTTGCAATACCTCTTTGATCATAGCGAATGCAGGATCCAGGCTCGAGCCTGCACAGTTCGGTTGGTTGGGGATGCATTCCCCAACTGTGACGCATGCGCTGCTGACATGGAGGACCCTTCTGCATGCAGCTCTTGATCCCCTAGAGAATGTCGCACCTGCACACGGCTCTGAATGCTTGTATACAACCTTGCGATTGCAGAATTGTGATCCATCCGGGACGTCTCTTGATAGGGACATCTCTGCAAGCAGGCCACTCATTGCCAACAACAGGTACACAACTCGGACTGTACAGCATGATGTTTCTTCGAGGAGAGGGTCTGGACAAACTTCGGAAAATAATTCCTTCAGAGTACGTCGTCCCATTGCTCGCACAATTCATTCAGCCTTCACGGGCCTCGTCTCCTCTGACAACAAGCTGAAATCGCCCTCTGCTTGGTCCATTTCGTGAATAGGATGATCCATCTTGGCGGCCACGATGGCTTCGATCCTATCACCTATTTCTGTGATGTAAGTTGGCATGCGATTCTGAAAAACATGTGCTGGTTACACACATACTTTAGGCCACACCTTGCCATGAATTGCGTTCGAAGAGCCCTTAACGTGCGACCAGCCATTGTTTTGACCTGGCTTGCCGTGTACCCTGGCCCTGGCTCCTATGCGACTGCCTCAATCATGGCCTTCTTTCTTGGCGGTGCGGTAGAAGGACCCTATTGTGAACTACGAGACAAGGTTCGTTTTGACCAGCTCCATAGACTAGACCCTTCTTATAATTGCGACCAGGCAGAAATGTGGATCCCACTGACAGGTGCAGCCCTGTGGGTCGCTTTTGGGGGCAGGAACATGCTGACCCTGCCACAGCCGGGGCTGATGCCCGGTCATATGCGGCTTCTATGTGACACCTTTTCAGGACTTCTAGGTAAGTTGTTGAGCTAATGCTGAACATCAGTGAACGGCAAAACCCAGCTCTGAGCAGTCTTCGTGCTGAGAGCTGGAAGGTGTGCAGCCCACCAGGCTTCACGCGACTTGCGCGTGCTACATTAGCGGCAACGCGCTTTCGCAGCTTGAAGTCCCGCACGGCATCCGAAAACGCACGCAACCGTGGTGGCACTCTTCAATGTCATCCCAGAGTTGACGTTGTGCACGGGGTCTGCTAGCCACTGAACCACTGGCTTCATATGTTTGTGTAAAGGATACTGCGTCTCCTCACGTTTCTGGCCTTGAGCGCTGTCTTCACATATGCAGGAGGGGCGGGCTTGTGGCAGAACGCTCAAGGCATTTTGCCAGCAAACCTTTTCACCAGTTTTACAGACCAAGAGCCTGAACAAGAACTCATGATAGACGAACCAACCGCCCTCCAATGGGCCACAGAGAAACAGGTTTTCACTATCTACATCTGAGAGTAGACCGAAGGAGTCTGGGAAATCCAGGCCATGATAACTACGCTCTGCTCTTGTTGGGATTCTTGAAGGAATCTTAGCAGATCATTGCCACATCCCGCAGCTGTGGCAAGAGCAGGCCTTCATTGAATTTGATATTTTCGTTGATCCCACTGCCACGCAGATCATGCGCCAGCCTGACTTTTCTCGCACCATGAAGCACCATATAGTTGCGTGCTCAACGTCTGTCTCTCTCCGAAGCATCTCCCAGCCGCTTCATGATTGAGCGAATAATTAGTAGGTGTAACCATTGCTGCCCAACTGTGCATCCCGCCCAGCAGCTAACCTCTGGATAACTTCCGCTCCCTGCCATCCAGAAGTAACGAACATGGGAACTCCACGAGGGTGCTGACCCAAAATCACACATGTAAATCCTCCCTCCGTCCCCATCCTCCACCCTACACTTACGCGTCAACTTAATGGTCTCACCAGTGCTAATTTATTGTGATTTTGTTCTTCACGACACTGCAAGCATGTTTCATCTGAGCATAAGGCATAAGATGTGATTGCACAGCATTTGCTTCAATTTCTCTTTGGGTTGTGACAGCGCGCGCAGCAAAGTGAAGACAAAGGTAGGTCAGATCTGTTGCTTACCATCCATGCTGCCCTGGTTCGAAGCTGGCTTTGCTGAGCAGATTTTTGCACAGCTGTGCTGAGAGTCTTTTCTGAGGCCTGCCGTGCATTCCATGGCGGTTGACATTACGATTGTTGCTGATGATTTGTGATGGCCAGTGTTGCCCTTCCTTCGACAGCTTTGTTGATTACCCGTTTCGCATTCATGTCTTGCAGTCACGGGATACAACTTGACTTGCAAACTCCCACCTCGTACTGGGAGGACCACATCACTTCCGTGATGGCCGTACGCTCCACAGTCGAGTCCCCAATGGAGAGAACATTCATCCATGGCGCTTCCCTGCCGTATAACTTTCTGAGAACCTCAGATCCCATCTTTCGTGTTCCGCTCGTTGCACTGCACTGACCACCTCTTCGGCATGTCCAGAAACTGGAGTTCTAGCTTCACGGATGATTGCCCCAACTTCTCAGCTTGAGATCTCCTAAGCCTCTGGAAACCTTGTGGAACTCAAAAATCCAAGGGCTCGGAAATGCAGCAGTGAATGCAAGAGGCCTTCCTCATGGCAGCCTGCTTTGCCAAAGTCCACAGGCACAGGCCATCTTCGCTTCCACCCTGCACAGCTCCAGTTACCAAAGGCACACACAGAAACCTGGCAGAATGAAGTATGGTTAAAGTCATGCAAATGTCCTGGCACGCCTGAATTAAGTACTTCTTCAAGCACTCACGAGCATAGATGACGGGGATCTCAAGCTCGTCTAGTAGGGCTGGTAAGTCCTCGGTCTTGTGCACTGAAGCCTTCCCCCGTCAAGCAAGGCAAATGCTGAGAACTGGCCAAGGCACTAAGTTGGGAAGGTACCTGGCGGCAGAATTGAGCCTGAACACAGGGTAAACTTGCAGGATACTAGGCTACTACTTCTCGCTCGGAAGCTTTCATCATCTCGATTCCCTGATTTCATTCCAGCCCCTGCATCATGTACACATTTTTTGATTCCTTCCAGAAGAAAGCGTGCATAGAATGCGACAGGGCCATAGAGGTCAGGCAACACCCATGGACGCTGCGCCAGAGTGACAATGCCAACCCGGCCGTTCGAGCGCGCTTCTCGCAAGATGCGCTCAACCTGATAGTGGTTGCGTCCCACAGCAGGAAACAAGTTGGCCGACTGACCGGAATACTCCGTCCTGCATACTCATGGATGGCCCAAATAAGACACAAGAGTTATCTTTAAAAACACACTCTGCGGATGCAGGAACAGTTTGACCTTGGCTCCGAAGACATTCAACGAAGGGGTTGTTGGCGGGTAAGTGCTCGCAGGTGGGATCTTCCATGCAGGGGTTGACCACCTCCGTGACAAACCTCAATGCAAGCAGAGCCAGGTCCAGAGATTATCAATCGCATCAGCTAGTAAAATGCACGATGCTGAAGAGATAATAAGAGAGCAAATGAGAGCAGCCACTGTTGCAGAACTTCCTCAGCCTGCCCAAACCCTCCATGAATTCAGGCAGCCATGTGGGAAACAATGTGTCATCCCAGTCAAAGATGATCACCGTCTCCTGCATCAGGCTTCTGGCTCTGACTGCTCGACATCTACAAGCTTGGCTTGGCAAAGTTGCTCACATCCTGGGGTTTCGGGTTTACCGGGCTACTGTTAAGGAACCCGAATTAAGATACTATGACAAGGAAACCCTTGTTAAGCGCTATACCCATCATATCCGCCGAGGCCAGAGGCCTGTGGTGTTTAGATCGGGAGCCGGAGACCAGGAGTTGCCCTCCGACTACCCCCTCCAGCGACTTTTTGGGGGTTTTAAGTCGGCTGAGGCAATCGGAGGTGGGAATCTCGGATTTCTGGTGTTCCGGGGGCCGCTCTGCTCTACGCTTGCCGATGTCTCGATGGTCATTTCATAAGTTACTTAACAGCAACCCAGTTTGGGCTACCTCAGCAGACCAGAAATCTGCCTGTCATAAACACGTCTCCAACACCCTTTCCGGGCACTCCTCCCATTTCTTGACACAGCTGAAATCATCTCAAATGCAAATTATCTATACCACCTTTTGGTCAGAATTCCAATTTTCGTAGTAACTCCCCTTACCTGCCACACAAAAACCTTACAAGCCTCTCTCCCAACGAAGTTTCCAAAATCGCAACCCTAAGGCAATATTCAGTACTACACCTCCTACACCCATCCTCCGCCCGGAAAACTGGCAAGGACCCAGCCACGGCCGCAGCAGCCGCTGCGGCCTTGGCTTCGGCAGCCTCACCTAAGCGCGAGGCCGAAAGGCTCTGCTCATTGCTGGTTTTAAATTATCTACTGTACACAGAATCTCTTGCCATCCTTGGCGACCTGCTGGCAGTCATTTTCCTGATGGCATAAGTGCCTCTATCGAAGCAGAAGCACCTTCAACTCTAAGGGTTAAGTCGGCCAAGTCACGCTCAGCTATAAAGTCCTTGGAAGGCATGCGCAAGGTCACGAGTGTGCATCAACTCGAGCTCCAAAACACGTGTCACGTCGTCCAGGATCAGAGTAAGTTCAGCTGAGACACAAAACTATTGTGATGCAAACGCTCTGCCAAATCTTGCAGAGCTTTCTCTCGTTGCATTCGGCTTTTGCTTGGTCTTCGTCCGTGCCGGTAAGGAGAACCAAAGCCTAGCAAGGAGGAGAAGGACCGATTAGGAAAATGCTGCTGCTGAGCCACAGGGCCTGGGCGGAAGCCAGCATCGTACTGCGGGAAGATCTCCATCAGCTTCTGCAACATTGATGCAAGCAGAAAGACCGAAAAGCCATTCGTCCCGCAGAAGAAGACTTCTACCGTGCCCTCGCACACGACTCCAACAAGAAGTTCGCCTTGGCCGTCAAACTGGGCAAGGTGATCGCTCGATTCGTCATCTCACCTCAGAAGCACGGCCCGGTGCACAAGCAAAAGCTTCAAGCAAACTAATGGCAGCAGCAACATCACACGTGGGTCGAGGAGTTCACATGATGCACAGCCAACAGAGTTGACGTTTACAAGCTGCATCTTCCGGATTAGCTTGGAGATTAGGCTGGTGATTCCGGATGTCTACTCTTGAGAATGCCCGAGTCACCCTCCACGATGAATTCACTGTCTGAGTGGTCCTCAGGATCCGTGTCGCCGTCCTCTTCCATCCTCCAGTCTGCCTTAGCTTGTAATCACTGGCTCTGGCACAAGGTGCAGTCTGTGTGCACGGTGAGTTGAATGGCCTGTTTTGCAGCCAGGTACTGGGGTGGTCAAGGATCGGTCTGGCACGGCGCCGACATCATAGTTGCTAGCCTCTGGCAGGCACAGTGCTTGAGACGCCAGCCCACCATGGCTGCGAAATCCTTCCTAATTAGCATGCAACCCTGCGCTAAAAACGCAAGGCCTCGCACAATGTGGAGCTTGCACGCCTCACCAGGAAGAAAAATGAGAAATGGCTGGTCTCGTCTCACTCACGTGTCCCGCCTGTATCCCGCATTTGCCATGGCGATGGCCACAGGCATGAGGGACGCGGGAATAAACACGTTGGTGGCAAAGAAATTGCAGGTGGGGACTATTGGCGGGAATGTGCCGCAGGGGTCGAAAGCATACATGTTGCTCTGCTATTGCTAGTCAGTAATGGAAACTCGTTACGAGGCAGCGAGTTGTGCATGAGACTGAGGAGGCCGTCTGCTCTGAGATCGCTCTGCTACTTGCGCAGTACATCTATGGAGCCGAGTTGAACCCAGGGCCTTCTGAAGTTTAGCGTAAGCTACTGATGCTTGCCATTGCAAAGCGTGGTGCACATGATTGTTGGGCCACAACGTGACAGCGACAGGATTCGCCAACTTTCTGCATAAAGCAGGTAACACATCTTGCCACAATATGTGAAGCCATTGGTGTGGTCAATGGAAGACAGTCGCTTGCGACACTGCTGCATTGTTTCGATAGTTGCGTAAGAGTTGTTGACACCCTGGCTGGCGCTCCGACATCGCTTGCAACTTTCGAAAGGTCAGTGTCGACGGCTGCTTTTGCCTCAAGAGCAATTCGATGTTTGCGGGTGCGTGCGTGTTTTTACATATGTATAGATGTATACATGAACTCACACACACAGAGCAAAGTCGTCTTGGGCCGCCTGGTCGTACTGGCCCTTCTTCTCCAAGTACTTCACCTGCACAGATGAAATGCTGCCATAGGTTAGATGGCCCTGCAGCATAGTGCGGATAACTATCAATTACCTCTTGAAGCCGAGGGCCTCCACTTGCTGGAAGCTCTGACGAATCGAGCGAAGTGCCTGGACAGAGACTCCACCAACTTGACTTACTGGTGGCGAGTACGGAGTAAGAGAGTATGATCCCCACATAGTCCCTATATAATGTGCTGCCTTATTCCCTGCTAATCCTCAGTAAGTTGAAAACTGCGCTATTCACACCCCAGGCTTGCTAAACTTCAGATAGCTTACTTCCTCTTCCCCACCGCTCGGAAAGTGGAAGTTTGCATCAGGCCTTGATTTGTGGAGCCAACTTGTTCTTCTTTTCTTTGAGCTGGGCGTTGATTTTCTGGACCTTGGTACAATGGGGTCACTGTAGGACTTTTGCCCGTCGTGAAATTGGTGTAGCTGTGCTTTGTGGTTGCAGCTCAGGGTTCCAAAGCTAGAGGCATGCTGCTATCACGAGGAATGGGCAATGGCCGAGATCTCATCCAGCGTCTTGCCCTTTGCCCTGTCTACCTTCCAGGAGTCCGGGCTGCTAACTTCACTTGCTCTAGACAAAGTCTCTGAAGACCCTGCCTGAGATTTCTCGACAGATGCCTTCTCAAGCATCTGCTCTGTTTCCACAAGCCTGGCATGCTGCCAAAGATTTTGGGGCCTTCCCCGAATTCAACTGCCTTGAAGGTCCTGAGATGCACCTTGCTTAAGACTGTGCAGAACCATTTGCGACCCTAGACCCTGTAGATGCTCATGCTGATAACCAGCTTCTCAAAGAGTGTCAGAAGCCACGCTTCCACACTAGGCTTCTCCAATTCACGGTGCCCTAACTAACGTGTTTTACTGCTCGATGGCAAACACAATTGGCAGTGGACCCAGCAGGAGTTGGGTCTTTCGACTGCAGGATCTGCTCCGTCCGCTGCAGTACCTGCTGTTCTTGCCACCCCAACTGCCCGGCTGAGGCAACTACTTCCCGCACAAAATTCGGAAGCAAGTTTATCTTTGGATTGTGCTAGGCACACATGCGTATCACTGCCAAACCGGGGGGGGCTGGGGGGCCCAAGAGTACATTCAGGTTGGCGCATCAGTAAGGAAATACGTATTTCGGGGGCGTTTACTACAGACGGAAGCAGGAGATGCCCGCGCTGCATATAACCGAGCCCCTCCACAATACCTTCTTTGTCTGAGAATGTCTGAGGACCCTCTCAGATCGACCCCATGCACACCCCCCCCCCAAATGCATTAGTTGATGCCATCTGTTGCTAGGCCCAAAGTGTGCACAAAACGTCCAACTTGAGACTGCTCAAATGGGAACAAATAGAGCTCTCTCATCTGCTTACAGGCGTGAACCGACAAACAGAACGGGACGCTCCCACTGTAGAGACCACTGCAAGCTGTGCTCCGCGGCAAGTCCATCATTGCTGCCACAGTTTCCATTGAAGCTTCCTCCAAAATCCTATGGAAGAACGATGATGGCTTCCCCCCCTCCACATTTCAAGGCGCACCGCCACTTCGTGTCTAAGCTCGCTGAGCTCAGCCTGTCGTTGACAGTAGAAATCTGCACAAGAAGAAAGCATCTCACAGCACTTCCTTGTCGGGAACCAATATTGCAATCATCAAGATAATAGGTCTCTTAGCCCGAATTTGATCGGAACGAGGGCCTTCTTGAGCTTGAACTTGGCAGACTTGTCCCTCAACGACGCAGCATAGGTCTTGAAGTCTTCTCGCTTCATGAACTTGTGGCCTCAGCAAGTCTTCCAAGTAGCCGCAAGAGAACAGGACTTTGACGGGACTTTGACGGTGCAATAAAATGCAATAAACCTCTGCCGTTGTAGGCTAATTACTGCTTCTACCTGGCATGGAAGCAGAAACTTTGGCTGCCGCCTTTCATTTGCTCGTATTCTCGCTCCTGACCCGTTGCCATGTTCACAAAGAACCGAAGGCCGTAGTGCGATCGAGAAAAGCAGCCAAATTGCCAACAGCAAGCCCCCCACAACCCAAATCAACTCTTGCAGCACTGAAATGTTGTTGGGAGAATTGCAATCCCTCTGCACGGTGCCTTTGTGGACAAGTCTTTGCTCAAGCTGTCCCTCTCGTCTTCGAGCATCTTCTTGTCCTCTGGATTTGTACCACACTTTGAAAACGCCGCTGTGCTGTGTACGTGGCAAACGCTCTCGGCCTAAAGAGCGGAATGGAATCAAAATGCTGGTTCAGGGCCCACCCGAAGGGCCTTCAGGACTGCCTCCTTTTTCTTTGCAACCAGGTTCGCCTGCAAACGCTCATGTGCTGAGGCATAACATTAGAGAAGACTGTATGGTCATCGCAAGATACATGTACGAGCGTGGGACCAAATCACAACATCTGTAGCAGGACGAGCCTGCTGCTTGTATACGGCCAACCGCGAGTCCTCCCGCCAAGCTGAACACGTCAGGTCTTTGTTTTTCCAGCACGGGCATCGTCAAGCGCTCCTGGTTTTGCTCGTTGACCTTTTCCTCCAGCGAGTGGATCTCGTTTTGCATCGCTTGGATCTCGCCCTGACAGCTGGCGGTGTGATCTTCAGCGAAGCAGCCTCTGAATCATGAGGAACCTGTTGTGTTTTGGTACTGGCGTCTGCGGTGAGAGACTGAGCAGATGCCTCAAGGCTGTCAATGTCCATTTTGGTCACCTCCGTCAGCACAGACAAGCTCATAATCTCAACAATCAACAGTTTTGAAGCTAGTGTGTGAGTGTCCTGTGGCAGCCTTGCTACGCGACAAGGATTATGACTGCGCAGGGCTCTGGCTGACCCGGTCCAAACAGTAACACCCTGCAGCCAGGGCCAGAGAATACAGAAGGCTGCCGAGACGCTGGAGGCTCGCTGAGGGCAGAGTCTAGCTCGCGAAGACGATCCATCTTCTCCTCCGACTCCTTCCCTGAGTGGTCATGCTGCAGTGCAGTTGGTCTGCTACTGTTGGTCTGGGTTGTGGTGCCCCTAGGTACGCGGGTACTGTTTATAAGCTTGTCAGGAAGGATCTTTCCAAATGTCGCCCCACTCAGCCAACAAACCAATGACATAGCGCTTCTGAAAAACAGTGTCCTGACACCGTCTGACACCCTTTGTTTGTCCTGCTGGCATCGCATCACAACTGAGCTTCATGTGATGGACTGCACTTGTTCATTCAAAGGCCAGCTATTCATTCAAACCCCATTCAAACCCCTAACAGTTTGGTCCTACAGAATGCCCAGAATTGTTTGGCAAACATCCGGAGCCAAAGGCAGGCCAAAACTTACGTGTTGACGTGTTGGCATGTTACGGGATCACGTCGGACGTCAGCTGATCTCACCACGAGAACCAGGCTCTGGGTCTCACGGTCAAATCCACCAAGTGCCGTGCGGACTCGCGCCAGCGCCTCTCGGCTTTTGAGGACCTGACGCTGGGAACAATGTTATAAGGACCCTTCAAACAATGAAAGCATCTATGGGGGCATTCATAATTACCAGGATGGGGCTTTAGAATGGCCCCTGGCACCCGAACCCACTAGTGAATTTGCCAAATTAACGATTGCAAGACTCCAGTCACCGCATGTCACTGCCTGCAGACGGATGCCCCTCGCCTCGGCGCTCAGCATCTTGAGCATGACTTCTGCGCTTCCTTCGCCTTCGTGGAGAGCTGCCTGCCAGCAGGTATGTTTAGATTCAGGCAATCGAAACAAACTTTGCGCGTTCCAGTCGGCAAGCTGAAGGGGTTGGCCTCTCGCATCTCCCGAAGTCGAGCCGAACGCTCGATGTAGAGCTGCTCCTGCAAGTGCTTTTGAATATTGGGCTAGGATGACCAGCATGGGCAAACAGCTTAAACTTCACTTTTCCATGTAATTGTCAGGAATGCTGGACTGATGCCAAACTTCCCAACTCGCAGCAGCGCTCCGTCTGCTCAAGCCTGGGCAGCAGCTGGCAGTGATACGTCTGCAGGCAGGCTACAACAGACTAAAGCAACATTGAATGGAGTCCACTTTGGCGCGGGCTGGTACTTCTGCTCGGCTAGTTTCTCGGCCAGTCGAGCTTCCTCCTCCTGCTCCTTCCGCAGCATGGAAGTGACCTTGAGTCAAGGCAAGCAGGGTTTCATCCAAGAAGTCTGCAAAGGTTCGTGTTGTGATACGCGGAGGCAGCTGCTTGACAAAAGACCCAGCTCAACGTGCACGACCTCACAGCTTTGCAGTGCCTCCAGCAGTGTGGCAAAGCCCTCGTCGCGCTCGGTCTTTGCCTTTGCTACCGGATACCATGAGGATTCAGAAGCCGTAAGCTGCCAACAGGTTTGATCCTAACCTCAGCCACAGACCTTCAGGTGCTGGATTTTTTGCGCCAGCTGCTCCCGCTCTGCATCCAGCTGCGCCACCTCGTGATGAGCAGCTCTTGGTGTCATTGAGGACAGCGAGTGCAACACAGGACTCGATACGTGATGGCACTCATGAGCCCTGAGCAACTCTGCCATACTCTGCCATACTCTGCCTGCCTCTCGCTGCAAGTCGCCTGGGTTCATGCGCCCTTGCCGCTCCTCAGCTCAGATGCTACGTGCATGAACCTGTTTCTGCGCGCTCAGCCCATGTCCTGCTCCACGTGCGAGTGCGTCGCCTTGAATTGAGACTGCAGCTCCTGGCCAGCTTTCACGCATTCACCCTGGAAGAAGCGTGCGGTTCCTGTGCGTCGCTGTCCTTATAATTCTGGTACGCGGAGTACACCTGCTCTTCTCGCAGGAATTCCTCCGGCACCTTCCCAGCACATGGCATGTTGCTCGCAAGCACGCTCCCACACACGCAAACTCAGTCAATTCAAATAGCTCTCATGTACGTGAAGGAACTTGCGGCATGCCCATGCCAGCCTCAAGGTTCATGCAGAACTTGGCCAAGTAGGCACGCTTTTCTCAGCAAATGTGGCAGGTTAAACATGCGAAGCATACTTGGTAGGTAGTAATTCGCTGCAAGTAATTGCTACAAGTAGTGATATCTCACTGTCACTCTGAATCCCTGATAAAAGTACCGTATGATCAGCACGAGCATGAGCGCCTCCTGAGGACGCATGCTACTGCAGCCAGGACACTTAAGGCATCAAGATTGTTGAGCAACCAGTAAAGAATTGGATGAACCGTGTTCTTGTCACCTGGCCAAAAAGGGAAGGAGGCAAGCCGAGCAGCAAACAAGCAAGCAAGCATCGACTGTGACAACTGCAATTGCATGTTTCCAGCCTAAGCTCAGGCCCTGCTGAAACTCTATGTCGAAGGAGCACCTGTAACAGAATCATCTGCAGATATCTGCAGCAATGCATCCAGTAGTAGCAGGGTAGCAAGGAATCAGCCAGGCCCGGCACTGGTATCCGAGGATGTGCAGAAACTCGGAGATGCGCTGGTACATTGCATCTGGCTTCTCCTCGCTCGGCAGTCTCCACAGGTCTTAACTGCTTGAACATGGCAAGGAAATCAGTTTCCATTTCCTTTTCCATTCCATCCTCCATTATTGTAATGACAACAATGACGGTCATGCTAATAGTATAATGGTAATAGTAATAGTGCATTCCTTGGGCACATGAAAGCTCCTCCCGAAGGTCAATATCATGCTTCGGATCCAGGAACACCAGTACCTTCTTCAGGATTTCCATGAGCTCAAACGGGTCCTGCCAGCAAAGATACAGCTATGCAGACTTTTGCGTGATTGCTGCAACAGTTTGTGCAAGACTGCTCTTTCACCCCGCCCCCCGCCCGGTCATCAAGTGGGCTTGGTACCCAATTCTCACCACGCCTTCTCATCGAAGCCCACAAGCGACAAGTCACAGTTGAACGGAGCGGCATTGAGCCTGCAGAAATCTGCTGTAAGGACGCCATGCACGACGCGCAGTATGCAGACGCCTGTCGACGATCTCTTTCAGCTGCGCCGCCATCAGACGGCCTGCCCAGGCAAAGGCAAGAGACCGTACTCAGGGACAAGGTGGCAGGCCTGCCGCAGCACCACCAAGAAGCGTGTAGGTTTAGGCTCACATTGGCAACCCAACAGCTGGTAGGCAGAGCCAAGGACCGCGTGCACAGGATCCACTCATGGAGCAAGCTGGATACCGACTTGACAGGACCAGCAACTCACGTGCTGGAAAGACCAACCCGACAACACCACACCTTCATTTAAGAGCAAGGCTCCGTACAATGCAAATCCTCCTGCCCTGATCCATCTCCTTTTCTGGCAATTTTCTTGCAGTGCTCGTGCCTGTACACGGAGATCTCCGCTGTTAGCGATGACCTCTTGCACCAAGGCCTTCAGCCCTCAGCACGTTCCAAGGCTACCTGGTGTTCCTTGTCCGAGAGCAGCCAATCCATGAACCTCTGTCGCATGCAGTTTGGGAGAAGCGCCCATGTTTCCTGCCAGCTCTGAGCTGCTGGCTCATCCACATCAATCTTGTAGTCACGGTTCTTGTCCTGGGTTTGGACTGCATCTGAAACACCTACATCAACCGTAAACATGAGCTCAGGAGCAGCACGTTGCACAACCACAAAGGGACCAACCAGGCATGCAACGCCGAGACTCAGTAGCCTTGATCATGACATCAATCCTTACTGCCAACAGCTTCGGAGTTTGCAGGCAGAAGATGCCATAAACGTTGCAGGCCAGTCTCTCCGAGTCCTTGATGCCGACCTTCTTCCTGAGTTCCCCGATGCTACGACCATGAAATCGAAAGACCGGTCCTCTTGGTGAGGCCCTGGAGACAACTCAGGAACCCATAGAACCGCGTCTCTGAATGTCAGCCATGAGCAAGACAAGCGGCAGGATCTCGACAAAACGCCCCAATGACATGGCTTGATCCATGTCTTTGGCACCATGGAACCTTGAGCTCAAGGGGGCTATGTTCATCAGCTATCAGGCTCTTTAGTGTCTGCACAACCAGCATTGCAGTCATGTGGCATCTGGCGTAGCTTGGATGAATCGCCTCGAGACTCAAAGGACTTGAGATGCTGACTGGGCTGAGCAAAGGTTGAGAGCCACGGCCATGTCTGGGCTCACGGTCCGGATCCTCAAAAGCAAAAAGTTCCAGCCATTGACGAGGAAGAGGAGGAGCCAAGCCTTGAGGCCCATCCGAATGCAGTAGTCGGAGAACTCCTTGAAGAGAATGCAACCTCGGCAGCATACTTCACGTGGTGCCCTCTTCACTCCGGGAAGATGAAGGTTGTCAGACCAACTGGTGGCACATGAGGAGGCCCTGACCCCCCTGATCCTCATCAATCCTTGGTTGGCCACAGCTCGGAAGTGCAGTAGAAGGGCACGTTGAATTTCTCGCTCCCGCACTCAGCGGTGTAGTTACGGCTCGCAGCCGAAGATGGAAAAACACGTGCAGTCTGAGCTTCTCATTGAACAAGGAATAGCCCGGCATGGGCGTCTCCCCACACTTGTCCTCTAGCCTCTGCTGCTGACGCCAAACTTGACAGGTGCAATCTGGTGAGACCAAATGACAGCACACGCTTTTCCGCCGGTTGCGAACAGGCCACATTTCTGGAGTCACCTGCGTGACAGTAGTTGTTATCACAGCCCTGCACATGAAACGACAGATCTGTTGCTTCATGTAGGGTGCTGGTGCCCGTTATGTTTTTCACGATGTTTGAACGTCTCCCCGCTGCACGCAAGAAGGGCTGTTAACCTCCCCAACCCTCCAAAAGGGATGGACTGTTGCATGTCATATCTCTACTGCAACCCACCTTTCAGACATGCATTCCACTGCAACCCATGGGAGATGTTCATATCATCTCATATCTTTGAAACACTGACTCATAAAAGATTATCCTAAACAGCAAGTCTGATTGAGCTTGAGCACCTTGATGCCAACTTTCTCGGCTTTGCCGGAGGTGACAAAGTTGGAGAACTCCTGATGAAGAAAAGCATCGGCAGAGAGATTCCTTCCATCCGTGGACAAATGGCGAGCCCTGGCTCATTCCTTGCGTCTGTCACAAGATCTGCTGTCCAGTTCGCACAGAGCAAAACCAAAATCGCACCGGCGACAATTTCTCGACGCTGCCCTGCATCCGGTAACTAAGTAGCAGCGCAACAGCTCCTGGCAGTCGATGCGCCGATCCTCGTCGGCATCTGCCATGTCCTGGAAGATCAAATACCTGAAGAGTCGCCCCTCCCTCGGACCCTGATCCATTCTGTTTTCCGAGTGCAGGAGCCACGATGGATTCAGAAACCCCAGGGCCTTTCCTACTGCCACCAAGTTGCATCTCGAAGAACTCGTGGAGGTATTGTAGCCTTACGGGGGGCGAAAGTCAGGATTTGGGAATGCAGCGGACACAGTAAACGCCCGGCGCTGTGTGGCTCGACTTGCGTCAAGGAGTTATCAAACAACTCCCCCATCATAGCTTAATCTTCCGATTGACCTAGGCTTCCAAGGCACAGCAGGCGGAACTGCTCACCCGGCTTGACATAATGCTTCTCGTGCTTCCGAAACCTGGAGAAAAGTCTAGGCGTTGTTGTTCGGTGACTGGAAATCACTGAGGACGCGGCGCTGCACCGTCATCTCGGGCAGGGGGGCCTTTGCAGTTCAAGCCCCTGTGCCTGTTAACCTGGATCTCTGGCTTGGCATACGTGATGCAGGCTGATGCAGGCTGATGCAGGCTGGAGGCGCCCCGTGGCAGCCAGAAACGCTCGGATGATGGCTGGCTTGGCCTGCGGCATTCACAAAAAGCTCCATGCAGCTGCAGCGATGGGTTGCATTTACTTCCGCTTGGCTGCGGGCATTGAAAAGAGCGGTGCATCCCATGACTTCAGGAAGCGCCTGGAAAAGGCTTCGTGCAAAGGTCTCCAGTTCCAAGTGGCACTGGAAGGGGAGGCCTTGTCGATCTCCGCCAAGCTAACCATTCCATTGTGGTTGACATCCACCAGCTTGAAAAGCTCTTCGCGCTCTGCCTCCTCCTGAGCTTGGCGCGAATGACACGGAGCTTTGGAAGGTGTTCATCTTTCTTTGCAAGCTGAACAACCAAGCAATTGTAGCCCTTGCTCCTCAGGCGTCTTCTGGAACTTGAGCTTTCCCTTCCAACTATGCTTGCACTGCTTGCATTCGGCTTGCAATGCGAGACGTCTGAAGTCTTGCAATAGACTTCACATGTTAATGACAAACATTTGACGGGCGACCTGCATGGCATCCACTTCGGGTCGTCCCAGCGCCACCCACCGCGCGGCTCCGGTGGCACCTCGCTACAAAACTCGACCAGCCCCTTTCATTTGGCAGTCCGACTGATACGGGCCAAAACCTGTCTGCTGGTCGGTCCACTCTGCACTGTCATGTTTGAAGTCCCTGCCGAGTCTCCAGTGTTCTTTTCAGGGTTTGGCGTAGCTTTCCAGGCACCCGTATCCTGCAAGCGGCATGCCGTGACTGCAGCAGTGGTCCAACATGCTTTGCCTTGTGGACGGTGTTGCGGCAGTTGATGCGCTTCACCCACAAGGCAACATACTTCCCCTCCTGCAGTGTAGGTTGGATGCTCCGTTTGTGTGTTTGTTTCTGCGCTCCTCGTTTTTCTGGGCACTTCGAACCTTCACCATGGCGGGGTTTCGAACCCCGAAGGACCTCAGCGTTGATCTTCATGCATCCAAGATCACTTCATCTTTCGGCTTTTAGGTTGCAAGCGTGATCAAGCACTTCCTTAGTAAGCACCAGTCCCAATGCACTATGACGCTGGTCAAGTCTCTTAACCAGCAATCGATTCCAGTCTGCCAGACTTGGTGGGAAGAACTGCTGACCAGCATCATGCCGTTGTACTGTTCACGCTTGCCCTTCAAACCATCCAGATGGATCCAGCTGACGCCGACGTGAAACTTGCCTCGGTTTCGCGCGCACCCTTGAGGGCTTTAGCCCTTCACCTTTGGGCTACAGTATCCTGCTCAAACTGGGGTGCCTTGGTCGAGCTGGTGATCCAGTTGAAGGGCCTCAAAGACAAGAGCAAGAGAGGAAAGCATGGCGCTTACAAGGCTTGCGTGACGGAAACAATGCTCGGCAGCCTCGTCCTCGTCATCTGGCGGGCGGCAGACCTCCATGCCATCGCCTCCCTCCATCTGCGGCAGTGGCGCTCGGTTTAGGGCTGGGGAGTCTGGGGGACCAAGCCAAGCCTCCTCGGGCTCCTCATCCTCGCCAATGACCTCCTCATCACCGTCCCCAGCAGCCATGACCTCCTGTGAGGGCTTGTCAACAGCATGTCTGAGATCACCGGAGAGAGCATCAGTACTTCACATGCCCTGAGAGATATGATCTCAGCTGTCCTCCATCTGTTCTGCATTTGGCTCTGCCATGGTTCACAGATGGACTCCAGAACTACAACACACTGTCGCTCGCATGCGGTAGGACATGGGCAGCATGTTGTGAGGGTCTTGCCTTCACATAAGCTCAAGGACTGCTCGGCTTGAACCGAATCCTTGGAATTCTGGAACCTCAAGTTGCGGAACAAGGTCTTATGATCACCACACATAGAGACGCGCCCTTTTCAGCTCATGAGCACGCAGCACGCTCACACACGGGGCGTGGAAAACATCTTCGAAAACTTCTGCAGAGCAAAGCTGAGGACTGCTTCAGCAGTTCTTGCCGTCTGCTGTGATCTCGCTTGGGAAAGAAAGGTTGGCATGTTTCATGCGGCCCTGTGGCAGTCAGAGCTTCCAACAGACAACCTAATACTAAGGATCGGTTGGCCCTGTAAGAGTGTAGCAGCATGCAATAAGTGGGAGAGCCTGCGCCCTTTGTGACTCTGCTGCACCACTCGGCATAACAAAGCACGGGTCATTGCACTGCTGACGTGCAGCTAAAGCACTTGCCAGCTTTGGCAAATTCTGTATGTTTCTGGCTCTGTGCTCATTCGGTGTTGCTACCATGTTGCTCAAGTTGTGCCATTGTATGGTCCGGTTGCAGGATCAGGCTCATGGGCTGGAGCCGCATTTCTGGGATTAAGCCAATTAAGCCGCTAGCAGATCAGGAGGTCGGCCACTACGTCTGCTTGATGACCTGGACATCTCAAATCATCAAGAAGTGCAAGGCGAGTCCAATCCCATGAGCAGACTTGATCCCAGTCATTGCAGCCCAGAATCTGCTAAGATTGCCTCCTTAGCCAAGGTGGTAGTGGCTACAGGCATGAGGCAGCACATGACTGCTAGAGACAGCAGTGACGGGCGGTCTTTGCAAACCCTCTAGACATTTAGCCGCTTGCTTCACGCTATTTTGCAGAAAAAGCTCTGAAGGGACATTGACCTTGCCAATGGCCTGCATCTTCTTCTTGCCAGCGGCCTGCTTCTGCAGCAGCTTCTTCTTGCCTGGGACAGGGCAAGGTCCAGATTAAATGCATTGTGGATACACGCCGCGGGTTAGCTTACATCACATGTGCTGGTCCTGGGGGAGGCTGACAAAAGCCTCAACAACAACAACAAATCTATGTTGGGGCGTCCCTCCAGAAAGTTAGGAGCAAGGGAAACAAAAAGCCGAATGGTAACGAAAAGAAGACGACAGAAAGAGCCAAAGAGAGTGCAAGAAAGATTGAGAAGGAGGCAGCCGGGAGAGAAGGAAGATTGAGAGGAAGATGCGGGGCCATTAGCCACTTGTAGCAAACCTACTCAGCTGGAAAAACACGTAAAGCCGCAGGGATGCGTGAGATGTCACCGCCATAACACTTCGCCAGGACATCCTTCCTGACAGCTTTGATGTTCTCCGATGCGATGATGTGGGTACCTAGCTGGTGCGTGGGCTCCATCAGTCACTAACTGAGGCTTGGGACCTTCTCAAAGGATCTGCTTGCGGCTCTGTTGCCAATGCGAGCCTGGATGATTACCTTGATCTGTTGTGCCGGGATCTCGTCCTTCAAGATCTTCACAATCTTCCTGGACAGTGCCGCATGGGAATCGGTTCATCAACATGGTCACATGATTGCCAAAAACTGCTCAGAACGAATCTGCCTTGCAAACTCCTGGACGCGCGAACGGTGTACTATCTGCGCAAGCGGGTTAGCTGTGGTCTTATTGATGTCCACCTTGCAGTGTGACGCCAAGATTGACCACGCAACGTGCCAGGGAGAAGATCGTGCAAAAATTGCAGGCCTCAAGCTTCACCAAGTCATTGGGCCTTGCACGATGACACTGACACTGCAAAGCATGCACCGGCAAGCTCAAAGCGAGGCCTGAAATCCATGATGCGGTAGTCCATGGAAGCGTATCCACGGGAGCGGCTTTTCAGCTCCTCAGCAGCACGGCTTGCTCAGAGGCATCGGTCAGATTCGCTTCTTCAATAGCAAGCTGGGCGCCAACTGAGACTTGTAGCAGGCATCAGGCAAATGCTTGTGTCATGCTGGCGCTATGTGTACAAGGTCTGCCGGTATCAGCTGGCAAGGTCCCACACGCATCATGCTTGCAGGCGGGGCACGGCAAAGAAATCACGGATCATCTCCGCCATGGGCATCCTTCAGCTGCTTCCGCAATCAGCGGTTCTGGGTTACTGTGGGGAGGAAAAATACATAGAGGGATTAGACGGGGGTTATGTAATGGAGACAGCGGAAAAGAAAATTGCAACGACTATTTGGGGCTGCTCTGCTGCCATCAGACAAGCCTGCTGACATGCAAAGAGCTCAGCTGCAGGGCTTCATGCACAGATCTGGTATTGACTCTTGTTGAGGCAATTAGTTGGTTTTGAGAATGGCCTTTTGTAAGCTATGTTGGCTTGATGTATATTCAGGAAGATAAGACTTCAACAGCCGCACACAACAAACCAGTGGTGTGAAAACCGGTCGTTTTCCT